CTACAGATAATCAATTTTTTGCTTGAAGGTTTTATTTAAAGAATCGAGTAAATAAGATTTCAATGAGTCCTCTCGAAGTCCTGTTGAAGAAATATCTGTAAAAACAACGAACATTTTTTTTAGGATGAAAAATAAGTTACTTCTTTAATTATATTAATATTATCACAAGTTATACTTTGGTGGATGTTTTTTCTTCAGATTACCTGGCTATATTGCTTTTCAGTTATTGATAAAATGAGGTTCTCCCAGATACAATAATTGTGCATGTTTACTTGATAGGAATAAAAAAGAAAACAGTTTATTGAAACCAGTGAATTTGCTAGAACGTAGCTAGAGGGGGTGACGTGGGAGTCGGGGAGTCGCCAACTGACGCACGACATTGTGGGAAACAAAACAAATACATACATAAATACATAAATAAATAACCTTTCAATATGAACACGAATAAAAAAAAAAGAACGGGAAAATATAACATCTGTTGTTTTTGTTTTATTGTTTGTCCCAGTTAATTTGTCTCCGATTCAGACTAACAATACCTCGGCGTGGAACATAGACACATCCTGTCTCTTGAGCTGTAGAGTAAACAAAGGAAGGCGGATTTTATCATGGCGATATATTGTTCCTCTTTTGCATTTAATTCATAAGGCATACATAACAATTTCGTACTTTTGAGGGTTTTTTTATGATGCAAAACATACACCCGGATTTAGTCCACATCTGTTTATAGCTTGAATGTGTTATGAAATATTCTATTAATCAAATTAAAACTGTGAACTAGGATTTTTTGCTTTGTAATGACAACGTCATATGCAGGCGAAGCATAAACGTTAAGTCTACTTTCCAAGTTCTGAATGCAGACAGCAAGAATGATGGCAAGACGCACGCCGTCAGGGAAGTCACAATTTATGAAGTTACTCCTGCAAAAAAAGTATAAAATGGTGTTTTTTGTGGTTCCAGAAGACCAGACGAGTGTCCTCTTTGTAACTATTATTGACTGACCAACCGACCGACCGACCGACCGACCGACCGACCGACCGACCGACCGACCGACCGACCGACCGACCGACTGACCGACTGACTGACTGTTAATTCTGATTTAGACTAGTGAAGAGAACATAATGATTGGTTCATTTCGGTCCATAGTGTAGACTATATGCATGGAAAGACTGCCAGTGAATAAAGGGGTGAGTGATAAAGAAAGCGACTATCTAACAGAAAATATTTCAAATATGTGACTCGCTCCATTTCATGGAGCACCTTTACTTACACATAAAAGGAAATATATGTTGAAATTATTATTTTATTAATGCCCACAATTCTTCAAATAAGTCCAAAAATGGGCACAGTTTTTAATCGTAACGTTTTTAAGTCACCAGAAACAAAATGTAATGAGAGCAACATTAAAAAAAACAAAAACCAGGAATTTGCTTTTCGAATTCATCGCCGATTTCTCTACTCGAGATGAATTTCAGAAAATTTAATTTTCGGCATTTCAAATATATAGGCATGCCCCATTCGGTTCGTTAGCAAAAATGTCATACTCACGCGCACCACTGATTACTAGCTTTTAATGGAAATAAATGTTGCTGAAATTCAATTGAATATAAATTGAGCTGCCTCTCCCCTACGTTTCAATCATTATGATGTCCCTTAAAAATAATGCTGGAGCACTTGTGCTATCCAGACTCGATTATTGCAACTCTCTCCTCGATGGTAACAAACAATAATGTTGATTGACTCCAATGGCTTTAAAACAATGCCGCTCGTTTCACATGATCACAACCTAAATACACACATTCCTCTCCACTCCTTCAACAATTACATTGGTTACCAAACCACATCTGCAACATTAGTTCTCTTGACAACTTTAAGGGTAGATTGAAAACTCGTCTATTCGCTCCATGTATTGTGCAACTTTGTCTTCTGGATTTGACCTTAATCGCGCATTGTATATTGCGGAAATGCGCGCTGCAAAATGTGTTATTATTATTGCGTTAAATATATGTGATCGAATTTCAGCGGCGTATCCAGCTTTTGATGTCGGGGGCGGGGGGGGGGGGGGGGGGCAACAGGACTCGGACATCCGCGCCGAAATAAAGACTTTTTTTCCCCGACACTTGGCCTCCGTAAAATCCAAAAGCGGGAGGGGGGCTGGTACTCATCTTCCAAATGGGTGCGCTCTTCAAAACTGACCATTATTATGCATACTGGAAAATATATGCAAATTTTCACGGCGCTTTGTAATGGTTTTGGAGCTTTGGGTTCATGTCAGGAAATAGTTAATAAACAAAATATATTTCAAAAAATCCGTGGGGGGGGGGGGGAGGTGCCCCCTGCTCCCCCCCCCCCCGATAAGCCACTTTCGAATTAAAAACAAACTCTCTTCGTGATCTCCTGTCCAATGATACACACGCCACGGTCCAATTCAGCTACTCAGCAAAACATGGAACGTAAATACTCAAACCTGAAATAATCATACAATGCGGTTGCACACGACCGCTGTTGACAAGAGATTTTACAAGATTCTTTCCCGTCTATGGTTTCACGTAATTTATCGTGTTCCCATTTGAGACTCATAACCAGTATTGATTATTAGAGGAAATTGTTGAGTTTGTAATTGTACAGATTATTAATATTTCGCTAAAAGGTTTTATTTAAAAAATCGAGTAAATAGGATTTCAATGAGTCCTCTCGAAGTCCTGCGGAAGAAATATCTGGAAAAACAACGAACATTTTTTTAAGGATGATCAATAAGTTACTTCTTTAATTATATTAAAATTATCATAAGTTATACTTTAGTGGAGGTTTTTTTTTCAGATTTCCTGGCTATATTGCTTTTCAGTTATTGATAAAATGAGGTTCTCCCAGATACAATAATTGTGCATGTTTACTTGATAGGAATAAAAAAGAAAACAGTTTATTGAATCCAGTGATTTTGCTAGAACGTAGCTAGAAGGGGTGACGTGGGAGTCGGGGAGTCGCCAACTGACGCACGACATTGTGGGAAACAAAACAAATACATCAATCAATACATAAATAAATAACCTTTCAATATGAAAACGAATAAATGAATAAAAAATACGGGAAAATATAACATCTGTTGTTCTTGTTTTATTGTTTGTCCCATTTAATTTGTCTCCGATTCAGACTAACAATACCTCGGCGTGGAACATAGACACATCCTGTCGCTTGAGCTGTAGAGTAAACAAAGGAAGGCGGATTTTATCGTGGCGATATTTTGTTTCTCTTTTGCATTTAATTCATAAGGCATACATAACAATTTCGTACTTTTGAGGGGTTTTTATGATGCAAAACATACACCCGGATTTAGTCCCCATCTGTTTATAGCTTGAAGGTGTTGTGAAACTTCTGTGAATCAAATTAAAACTGTGAACTAGGATTTTTTGCTTTGCAATGACAACGTCATATGCAGGCGAAGCATTAAACGTTAAGTCTACTTTCCAAGTGCTGAATGCAGACAGGAAGAATGATGGCAAGACGCACGTAGTAGGGGAAGTCACAATTTATGAAGTCATTCCTGCAAAAACGTATAAAATGGTGTTTGTTATGGTTCCAGAAGACCGGACGAGTGACCTCTTTGTAACTATTTTTGACTTTCTGACCGACCGACCGACCGACCGACTGACCGACCGACCGACCGACCGACCGACCGACCGACTGACCGATCGACCGACCGACCGACCGACCGACCGACTGACCGACCGACTGACTGACTGTTAATTCTGATTCAGACTAGTGAAGAGAACATAATGATTGGTTCATTTCGGTCCATAGTGTAGACTATATGCATGGAGAGACTGCCAGTAAATAAGGGGGTGAGTGAAAAAGAAAGTGACTATCTAACAGAAAATATTTCAAATATGTGACTCGCTCCATTTCATGGAGCACCTTTATTTACACATAAAAGGAAATATATGTTGAAATTATTATTTTATTTATGCCCACAATTCTTCAAATGAGTCCAAAATTGGGCACAGTTTTTAATCGTAACGAAAGTCACCAGAAACAAAATGTAATGAGAACAACATTAAAAAAAACCTCAAAAAAAAACAGGAATTTGCTTTTCGAATTCATCGCCGATTTCTCTACTCGAGATGAATTTCACAATTTTAATGTTGTGCATTTTAAATATATAGGCATGCCCCATTCGGTTCGATAGCAAAAAAGTCATACTGACGCGCACCACTGATTACTAGCTTGTAATGGAAATAAATGTTTCTGAAATTGAATTGAATATGAATTGAGGGCGCCCTAATATTGAGGCTTTTCCCCCGCAAGTTGGCGGATTTTTCAAGATGGATTCTTCCACTGTTTCAACTCTAAAGATGATTTAAGATTGAGTCCAAAGGAACCGTAATCTTTTCTACATTGGAAACAAATAAAAAGACGAATATATTGACAACATTATTTGCAATAGATATTGCAAGAGTATGAATAAGAAAACAAGAGAAGAATGGGGAAAAGGAAGCGGGCGGTTAAGAATCTTGTATCGTTTTTACCTTGCCTCAAAGAGCCCTGGTTTCACACCAGGGGCTTTCACGCTACCCGAATGTCTAATTCTTTTTTTTACCAAAAGTGCAACAATGATTATATATGTGGCTCATTAAAACAGAACATTTGGCTCAGCAAAACAGAATAAAATATCGCCATGACAGTTATAATTTGATTCACATAAATATTCATCGCATCTTCAAGCTATTCCCAGATTTTTGTAATGCAAATCACACACCCGGAGCTAGTCCCCAACTGTTGATAGCTGGAAGGTGTGTTTACAATTTCTGTGAATCAAATTAAAACTGTGAGCAAGGATTTGTTTTGCTTTTCAATACAAAGTCGTGCAGTGGCCAATTAAAACACTCCACGTGACGCTCGAAGCCAATGAAACCTTACAGATGTCGGGTGTGTATTATACCAAACGAGGACCAATCGAGGGTTTATAAGCGGTGCCTCTCATCTCATTGCCTCATTCCGCAGCTGCATTTTGGCTTGTCACACTCCTTGGTAGGAAGACAACTCGTAAACAGCATGGCTTTCATTCGAGTCGTGAGCTTCGTCCTGTTGGTGGGTTTGGCCGCGGCGTGTCAACCACGTTGCCCCAAGTGTCCACCGATGTGGACTTTCTACAATGGCAACTGCTACCGTTTCTTCGGCACTGGCAAGACCTACGATGAAGCTGAGAAGCACTGCCAGCAGTTCACTCAAGTCGGCCAGGGTCACCTGACGTCCATAGGCAGCGCTGAGGAGAATAATCTGCTCCTCACTATGTATACATCGGCAGGTGGGACAGACCTGTGGATCGGCTTCGATGACCAGGCAGAGGAAGGGAACTTCGTCTGGACAGATGGATCAGCGGGCAGCTACACCGGATGGCGCAGTGGCGAACCCAACAACTCCGGTAATGAGCATTGTGCCAACTTGCCGAAAAGTTGGGATGGCGAATGGAATGACACCAAATGCGGCACTCCTCGTCAATACATTTGCAAAATGACCACTACAAAGTAAATCGACCCAGCACTGGATGACAACGGAGATGCGTAAGAACAAATTTCCAACATCAAACCCGAAGCCCTTTACAACGATGCCAAGTCGACGTCATCGGCTATGATCACCAAACATTCCTCCCAAACGGACACTCACAAACAGTATCAGTCAGAACTAAACGGTTGAATTTCATTGTGTAGACTGCTGGCCGGCTGCACGGTGAAAAAAAATCGTTTCCATAACCCACTTCGCATCTTCGTGGCTTCAACGTTGACGAACCTGCTGCATGCTTTAAATTTGAACATTTAGTTTATAGCTTTTGCTCGTTTCATCAGGTGTCCAGCTTAAGAATGATGGGAATCCGGAAAATGATCAGAATCATCGGTGAACTAATTTGCTGATTAGACAAACAGTATCACTTTAAAACTAAACGGTTAAATGTTCATTATGTAGACTGCTGGTCGGCTACACGGTGAAAAGGAAATCGTTTGCACTTCGCATAATCATGGCTTAAACGTTTAAGAACCTGCGTACTTTCAAATTTAACATCTTGTAATTTGGTTTTAACCAAGTTTCCAGTATAATAGTGAGACAAATTTCAGTAAATACTACAATCATTGGTGAATTAACCTGCTGGTTTAGGCCTACGCTTAAGCCGCACTCGTATCTCAAAGCAATTAGGAACCAACGAACTGAGTAACTTGGGAATGTTTCTCAGAGCTGATATGTACAACAATTGTTTTATTTTAAATTCCGATTCCTCATATTAGAGGCTTTAACATCATTGCTTCAAATTACTGGACACCTTATTTGAATTTTTAATTCATTTACTCTTGGATTCTCCTACAATTTATTTTGTCGTTTAATGTTCAATTTCTTGTTCAATTTTGTTTTTGACATTTATTTTTTGGACGTTTAAAGTTCAATTTCTTGTTATTTTTTTATGTATTGGTAGAGGATATTTGTTGGTCAATTCCGCCGTTCAGGTGGGATAAAACAATCAATACAAAAAAGATTACGTTAGTGAACAGAAAACAACCCCGGATTGATTTTACTTTATGCAGACCACACCATATAAACTCAGTTCATTCTAGAATAATTTGCAACGAAAAACATTAGAACCAATGCCGATTTTCATTGCTGAACCTACCCACCGACAAATTACCACTGAGATGATGACGGTCATGTTGAAGTGATTTCCTTAAGATTTGAGATTCTAAACTTTACTCGTCATAATTATCCAAGATTGAAGGTCTCAAAATTGTTCCAACGTGTTTTAACTTAGTTTGTTTTTGTATTCTTTTTCCTTTTCTTAAATATGTCTATTTTATTATTGCCATTTTGTTGTTATCTTGCAAGATCGATTTTATTTTACTCCTTACTAATCGTAGATTAAAAATGTTGCATGATAGATGTTGTTCAGATTGCATTTTATTTTTACCGTAAATGTTCTCACAATGGGCAATAATTATCAAGAACTGTCCCATGCCGTATTCAGCTACCTTTAGAATTGATATCTCCCCTGAAAGATAAAGAAAGTCTAATTCGGTGAACAAACAGATAGTCACACAGCATTAGCGCACAGCCAAAAGCTACCCCGCCTTGGTCTGCTTGTTTTAGAGTTTATGGTTGGTCTTTGCTGAAACAAACTTATGTTTCAGCCTTATCCCTAGAGTTTCTTCATCGACTCGATTGCGTTTATAACCCCTTCACTAGGTGGCGCTGTTCATAAAACTGCAAAAAAGACCGATCGGCAAAATGAGTGATATAGCCCTTCCACATCCGGTTAAAAAGTGCAGGGGAGGGGAGGGGAATTTCCTCCAAAACCATCGAGATTGACGCCCTTGCATTGGACAGTCTTAAGGTGTTTTCAAAATGGGACGAACATCATTTTAATGCTACATTGTATGAAGCATTACATCATTACTAAAACTCGGCAAGGCGCAAAAGGTTCATTAAACGGACGCACGATTATTTTTGGTACAGGACGATGATTTCGCTTTTGCCTCTTTCAGCTCGTGAGTTTTAATAGTCATTTGCTCAAATGGGGTGGGGGAGTGGGGGTCTGGACATCATCTTCCTATGGGGACGCTGTTCAAAGTAGACGATCAGTAATTACCATTTGTCCTTGGTTAATTGTTAGATTTTCTACCTGGCAATGAAAAGAAAATAACGCAAAAATACTTTAAAATCGTCTTTATTCCGAAAAACTCGATTATCTTCGCCGGACTGGTGATCGATAAACAATGGTGAGCAAGACAAACAACGCCCTCTGTTGACAAACGATGAAGAGGGGAATCCCCATTTCCGATTCGATTGTTCTGCGTGAGCGTACGAATGTCACGTGCATGATATACACGTACGCCGATAGTACAGGTTCTTTTACGAAGTTCACCGCTGGTTTCAGGGCGACATTAGGTTTCTGCGCATGTCCGTGCTTTAGTATGACACGCCCTCTTGTCGCCGAATTATATCCAGTCTCGTTTGGGGTAAAAACAGCTCACCGGAGGACGTCTTTTCAATCTTTTCAATATCAAAATAAGAATATTCGAGATATAATAGTAAATCTACAGAAAAAGGGCTACAATTCTTTATCATAATATATATGTCTGTGAATTCCGAAAACACCTCTAGATAATTACCTTTGATTGCAACGTTTATCAGTTTCTCAATCGGAACGACAATAACGTTCACGTTTCGTGGGATTTTTCGTCATCTGGGTAAGTTTAGTCCGAATCAAATAAAGTATCACTGGAAAGTTTAATTAAAGGCAAATACTACTGTTGAAGACTATCGGGAGAAAATCCCGATGGAGCCACGTACGTAGCTATTTAATACATACACTGAATATAAACAAACGCGGCCATTTGTGCGCGAACCCCGCGGCCGCGTACTGTGTTTTATTGCGCAGTTGAATCGCGAAAACCACAGTCCGTTATAGGTGAACATACCAGAGGGAATCTCCCAAAAAATTGCAGAAAAAAAACTATTTGAGGACACTTTTTTTTCGCTGGTTGCTGGCATTCGTTCAGTACAGGAGGCCTTTTTTTCTCATTTCGCGAAAATAACGACATTGCAGTTAAAATATTTGATGGAGATGCTTTAGTTATTCAAATTTTAACCTACTTTGGGACAATTCTTACGGCTTCAATATCTATTTCGTGCATTATGAACAGTTTTTTTGGAAGGCCGTTCTCAGCGATTTGTTTTCAAAAACGAGCTCATAAATATTAGTTTTACAGCACAGACCAGAAAACTGGCGCTGGCGCATATACCAAATTGTCGCGCTGTGAGCCTCTGTATCAGTGGTGAGTTACCTTGGTTTGAAATAACCATTAAGTGAAAACTTCGAACAGGCAGGTTCTGTGAAGGTTTTTGATGTCAGTTGCGCCATTAGAAGCTCAAACTTTGTTTTTCAAATTGAAGAAGCAAATATAATGTTCGTAACCTATTTGATGATTAATTTTTAGTCAAAATGTAGTGTGTTTAAGTTCCGCTTTGGTCTAATGTATCACAACGCATTTGGGAATAAATCCTTTTTCTGTCATTATGAATTGGGGAAAACTATTCAATACGATTTTCCCTTTTTTTTCGCTGAGAGTATGAAAGGCCTGCCATTAAAATGTAAATGCCTTTCGTCTCAATGTTCAGGTACTTTTCACTGTTTTTTTGTTGTAGATACAACTTTATCTGAAGCTGAAATTTCCCTTGAAGACATGATTTCTGAAGTATCTGAAAGTAAAACTTCACAAATGTTGCCAAGGAAAATAGTATTGGTCAGGCTGACAACTCTTGACCGCAAGACACCTAGGAGAAGCAAAGGCCGAGGCCGAGGCCACAACCTCCGAGGCCGAGGCTAAGGACGAGGCAACAACCTCCGAGGCCGAGGTCATAACCTCTGAGGCCAAGGCCGAGGCCACAAACTCCGAGGCCAAAGCCAAAACCAGGTCACAACCTCCGAGGCCGAGCCCTAGCCGAGGCCACAACCTCCGAGGCCGAGGCCAAGGCCAAGGCCACAACCTCAGAGGCCATGAAATTCGGCCCCGAGGCCGAGGCCGGCCTCGAGACCGCCAACACTGTTTCTTTTTTAGTTTATTCAAGAAAATGTCGTTAAGGAATTCAGTTTGCGGCAGATCTATACTGATGTTGATGACCGTTGCTGTTATTCTGTATTCGGTATTAAACTCGAGGGCCGCCCGATAGTCCGAAGGTTCGATAGTCCGAATGCACACAATTTCCATAAGAGGGGGTTCGTTAGTCCGAAAATGAAATACGGTTCGTTAATCCGAAAAGTTGATGCAATAGTCCGAAGGTTCATTTATCCGAAGGTTCGATAGTCCGAATTTAGAATAAGGTTAATCAGTCCGAAGGTTCAGTAGTCCAAAACGAAAATAAGGTTCAACAGTCCGACGGTTAATTATTCTGAATTGACATTAATGTTCGATAGGTTACAGCCCGATAGTCCGAAGGTTCGATAGTCCGAAGGTTCTTTAGTCCGAAGGGTCATTAGTCCGAAGGTTCGTTAGTCCGAAGGTTTGATAGTCCGAAGGGCCCATTAGTCCGAAAATAGAATAAGGTTAATTAATCCGAAGGTTCGATAGTCCGAATAGACAATAAGGTTCGATAGTCCGAATAGACGATAAGGTTCGATGGTCCGAATGTACCGTAGGGTTCGATAGTCTGAATTGACAATAAGGTTCGATAGTCCGAATCGACAATAAGGTCCGATAGTCCAAATCAACAGTAAGGCCCGGTAGTCCGAAGTGTCAGACTGACGAACCGTATTGCCCATTCGGACTATTGAACGTTATTCTCAATTCGGGCTATCGAACCTTATTGTCGATTCGGACTATCGAACCCTATCGTCTATTAGGACTTTCGAACCTTCGGATTAATGAACCTTATTCTATGTACGGACTAATCGGCCCTTCGGACTATCAAACCTTCGAATTATCGAACCTTCGGATTATTGAACCTTTGGACTATAAACGAACCTTCGGACTAATGACCCTTCGGACTAAAGAACCTTCGGACTATCGAACCTTCGGACTATCGGGCTGTAACCCTTAATTCGGATACAGCATCTGTGTTACAAAACAATTTTAATAATCTTAACACTCAAGCTGTTTGCCTCAAGTGTTAAAAATCAAGCATTCGGCCTTGGCATTGCGTGTTTTCCCCGTAAAGAAAGCAACTGTGGTCGGATGAAGGTAACAAAAGGATACTATTGACTAATAACTACCAATTATCTTCAGAGGATTTATCGATAAAAACACAATACTTGTTTATGCTCCCACGGACTGTTATTTTCGTCTGTTTTGAACAGTCGTTATGGTTCTTTGCCTCAAGAACTTTCTATATATTTCGACGTTGCCTTTTTGTTTACTCCATATGGTCCTTATTTTTGGGAAACAAAGGATGAATGAACTGCGAATTGATTTTAGTGGAATCATCAATACAAATACTTCTTTTTACTCACAGACTGAATAATTGTAATTTTGTTCCAACATACCGTGGGCTGTGCTGAACACTGATTTATTTGCATATAAATCGCCTGGCGACAGATGGAGTCGGGTAGTCGCCAACTGACGAGCAACATTTCAGGCAACTCAAAGACACATGATTATCAACGCAAAGACATATGGTTACCAATTAATTAAACAAAAGGCACATCCAGATAGGCTGAACAAAACAAAACCTAAACTAGAGGTCTGTGTCTGTTTGAAACAGAACATTGGGCTTTTCTGCATTATCAGTTTTTTTATGACTTTATGCTTTTGAGTGTATCAATGTACATGTAAATTATGTACCATTATCTACCTTTCTACCAAGTTTCATGACGATCGGACCTTCCCTTATATGTGTTTGAAAAATCTCATAATTTGATGACGTAATCATGACCTCACACATTTTAAAAATGTGTGCATATATCTATCACCTAATAAACCTAATACAAAAGGAATTTTGGATTTCTACCTACATGGTCTACCTACAAACCAAAGTTTAACCCAATCGGACTTACAGCTCTCTAGATATAGGACTTTAAAATATGCACTTTTAACCTGACGTCACATTACCTGTGATGACGTCACCACGACGTCACTCTTCAGGACACACCTTTGCTATAGGGACTATGCCTGTGGTAACTTTGATGTGTGACAACGATAAATGGCAAAAGTGCCGGACAGAAAAATCGTGCATAAAGTCTATGAAATTTTGGGTGTGGAACAAGAAGAAGAAGAAAGAAAACTAGAGGTTTATGTCTGTTTGAAACAGAACTTAGGGCTTTTTCGCATTTTTGTTAATACATTTCAGAAATATTCTGTATTGATGACGTCATGACGCACTTCTCACAATTGTAACATTTATCTGCCAATCCTTTTGTGAAAAAAGGAATTTAACATTTTTTTTGGATGTTACATTTTGTTCACATTTATGATATAAAATTACATGATGATGGTTATCATGACTTCAGGTGAAATTACCTGTATAACACGTACCTATCAGACTACGTTCAAACGCAGTTTTAACACATTCGGACTGATAGTTTTCTCAATTTGAGACTTTGAAAAATGCACCTTCATGATGATATAGGGACTATGATGATATAGGGACATAGGGACAATGCCTATGCTGATTTTGAATGATGAATCAGAACAATGAAAAATCAGAACAAAAAGAAAGGCTTTTTCGCAAATTTACGAAAAAGCCAAAAATTTGAACAAAAAGAAAGGCTTTTTTGCAAATTTTCGAAAAAGCCCCCCCCCCAAAAAAAAGAACAAAAACAAAGGCTTTTCCGCAATTTTGAGGAAAAGCCAATAGAGAAGACATTACATTCACCATCTGCAGTTTTAATAAGTAGATCTGTTCCAGCACAGTGTTCATTTACCTTGTCTCAGGGTCCAGACGATTACAGGACCGAGTTCAGCACAAAGGCAGATTCCTCCGAGCACACAGTCGACACTTGTAGCATACTCCCACCAAACGAAATACAGAATTGCATGTTTTCGATTTATATTTAACTTGAATGGAGGAGAAGTAAGTCAGATATGTAATGTTCATTTGTCTTTATAACGGTGGATTACAGGTAAAAGTCTATCAAAAAGACAGAATCAATAGTCAACACAATCTAAACTTCGAAAAACTGAAATGTGGACTGCGATTATACTTAAATCCGATTGATATTTCAGTTTTATATGAAAGAAACAATTGATAGCGATAAACACTCTACATACTTTATTTCGACGTAATTACTGTATTTACGGCCTCGTTGTTATCTTGCAATGATGACTACCAGTGGGGTAGCACGGTCATTATTATTAGGGATATTTTTTTGTTTAAGGGCACTTGCACATCCGTGGTGAAATGTAGACACGTATTTTTTTCTCCAGACACTTGGCCTCCGTAAAATCAAAGGGGGGGGGGGGGTTAACCTAAGGTTAAACGTTCAATAAGATTAAACGGCTGTGTTAACACATACGGAAATTTGTATCCTTGTGGAGTCATTTCTTTGTTCTCGTGTGCTAAAGTTTTCGAGTTTGAAGTGTACTTTCAAAATGCTCCTGTTTTAACCAGAATAAATTTCCTGGGCTGAAATTTAGACTTAATATCCCTTACAAAAAATACTTCGATCAACACACCTTAAAAATTCATATATTTATTTTGTGATAACCTTGTGGAGACGTATTCACCTGTAGAAATTGCTCTGTGGAGACGTATACAATCTTACGTTCCCTATTGTGCACGTCTCCAGAGGGTACCGAGTATAAACAGATACCATCTGCAGCGCTGTTTTGTCAATAATGGACAGTGGATAGGGGGAACAACAGCCTCAAAGTCCAACAAGTGGGATGGGATGGGGTGATGGACACCACAACACTATAGAGTGATGTATGTAGGGACACATAATATAATACATATTATGCAATTTCTGTCAAAAAAAAGGTTTTTGCACACCATAATGAGGAAAATACTGTGCGGATTTAGGTAGCTCGAGGTATAATGTGTACGCACTGGAGAAAGTTATTTTTTTGTAGGCGGGACGGACAAGCGATATGCCTCCCCATAAGCCTGCTCCCACTCCCCCAGGATCGCGGCCAATCACCCTTTCACTGCTCTCTAAATTCCAAAGAGTGAAATTAGGGATTTGACGTTTTAGAATGAAAATCACTCTCACTTTAGATTGAGCAAGTATGAAAAAAGAACCACTTCAGTCAAAGTCGAGTAAAAACTCGATCGTTTCGATTGAAGGAATTTCACTCAGAAACGTCTAGTCCCTAGTTTCCGACTGCGGGAGGGAATTTTCACTCTTTGGAATTTAGAGAGTGGTCTGTTAGTTTCCCCCACGGTTTGTGGTATGCGTCCCTCCAGAAAAACAGCAACCCAAAGTCGACTCCATACGAGTACCACCGAATTCTGCAGTTGACTAAGTTTGGTTAAATGATCAAATTCGAAATGTTGATGTGCTTTAATAATGTGTAGCTATTTTGTTGATCCCATCATTCTTTCGATGCCCAAATTGTATAGCTAAGGCATGTGACGTGGGACGCTTTTGTTTTCACAATTAGTGCCCGTTTGATAATTTGCGATTTGAAATTCACAAAAGCACTGCCCGCGTTACCATTTTCATGCAATATTTTTTTAATCTGCGATAATGAAGGTAAAATACAATGCAAAAGCACAACTACAGCGAGAAAATAATGATTAATCAAAAGCAGACCAAATACCTATATTTACTAGGAAAAAAAAAGTTTTCAATAACCCAGTGATCAGTTTTCGGTGGGTACGTTTTAGCACAGGAAATTGGTGTGGGTGCCTTATCAGCTGTTCCGAATTTCGATTCCGGTGATCCGGAGTTCAAGTGTCGATGATTATAATTTTGAATTTAGGTTGCGTGACGATGGCATGTGCGGCTGCTCAGTTACAGCCACAACCTCTAATTGGTTTTATGTTCAGTTTCAAAATATCTAAGAAGTATTTTCATCTATCCGGGGCTAGCTTTGTACACCACGTAAGTTCAATCCGGAATTGTTTTTTTTATATTAAACTGAAGCAACTTGTTTCAGTCCATCAAAATGTTAGCACATCTGGTTTGTGTTTTATGCACTTTAGAAAATATGCTTTACCAACACGTAATAATTAACAAGAAATTAAATCTAAACAACAACAAGTATTTGAAACAACATAACAAAAACAAACAATTTTGTACTACTTATAGAGTAAATGAATTTAAAATTTAAAAAGTGTCCAGTAAAGTCAAGCTTGCAGTTGATGTTGGAAGCTGTGAGGAGTCTTGAGTATGAATTGAAGTTTCTTTGTACGTTGTAGCTCTGAGAAACATTCCCAAGATACGCAGTTGGTTGGTTCCTTAGTTTTTGGAGATACGAGTGCGGCGAAAAGGTAGGCACAAACCAGCAGATTAGTTCTTCGATGCTTATGATGTGTGTTAAAATGTCTCTCGCTATTACAATGGACACATGGTTAAACAAGAAAAGCTAAGTACTAACTGTTAAACTTTAACACATGCAGGTTCCTAAACGTTTAAGCCACGGAAATGCGAAGTGCAAACGACTTAAACGTTTAATTTTGAACGTTTAATTTTGAAGTGATACTGTTTGTGAGTGTCCGTTTGGTAAAATCATGGTCGATGAGATCGACTTGGTACCGATTGTGAGGACTGCAGGTTTGATGTGGCAAATTTATGTTCTTACGCATCTCCGTGGTCCTCCATTTTGGGGTCGATTACTCTGTAGCGGTCATCTTGCACATGTAGGAGTACTCCTTGAAGCATTTGAAGTCACTCCACTCGCCATTATTCTCTTGCAACATTTGAGTGCAGTGCTCATCACCGGCGTTGTTGGGTTGGCCATCCTTCCATTTGGTGTAGCTGACCGCCGACCCATCATTCCAGATGAAGTTCCCTTCCTCTGCCTCGTCTGTGAAGCCGATCCACAGGCCGCCTGCTGTCGTGCCACGGACCGAGTCCCACATCTCCAGGAGTATATCGTTCTCCTCGGCGCTGGCTATGGACGCCAGGTGACCCTGGCCGACTGCAGAGAACTGCCGGCAGTGCTTCTCAGCGTCAGGCTGGCTCTTTTTAGTGGCGAATAAACGGTAGCAGCTGCCTTTGTAGAAAGTCCATATCGGTGGACACTTGTGGCAGCGTGGTTGACAGGCCGAAGCAGTGTCTAGGCCGACACCAACCAACAGAACCACGCACAGTATTTGCAGAAAAGCCATGCTGTTATCAGGGTGTCACCCTATTAATATCAGTGAATATCACAAGGCAATCTGCAGTTTCAGACTGATATTTCAAGAAGAGGTGATGCCAATTTTAAACAAACCGTTGATATGCAGTCTTGGTATAAGTGCCGATTTGACGTCAATCGTGACGTTAAGTGTTGTGACTGGCTGTGGGTAGATGCTAGTCTGTGAAGTACACGCTGGCGCAGTAAACAGATGTAATAGTTCATTAGATGTGGCAATTAATTATGCAACAACCGCTTCCTGTTCTCTTGTGATTTTGACCAATCCCAAGTCTTGTTCTATTGTGCCTTTGACAGGTCGATGGCATGATGTATCTTGCAATTAGTGGTGTTGCAGTAAGATATGTTCTCGTTCACGTTCACACACCCGATTCGGGATGAAATTCAGATATCGCATGTGCGCTACAAGGCAATTGTAATTATCTACCTATTCAATAGTCCGACTGATACTTTGCCTCGGGTATTAACAGTAATTGACTCGGCCTTGGCAGTGTATGCGTCGTGGGATAAAGAAAGCAACTGTGGCCGGATTAAGGTAATAAATGGAATATTAACTTTCAATTAGCTTCAGTTGAATTATCGATAAAAACACAACACTTGTTTACGCTCCCACAGACTGTCGTTGCCGTCTGTTGTGAACAGTCGGTATGGATCTTTGCCTCAGGAGTTTGCTATTAAACTCACTTTATATTTTGGCTTTGCTGTTGCGTTTCCCTTTTGTTTACTCCACAATGGGCCTGGATTTTAGGAAACAAAGGACGAATGAACTGATAATAAACTTAAATGACACTATCAATAAAAAAAAATCCTTTTTACCCTCAGACTGAATAATTAATTTTTTTTAGCAGACTGTACGTAGCCGGCCTGGGATGATTTGCCTGTGTCATGACAATTCAACCTGAATGCCTTACACTATGGAGCTGTATTCCTCTCTTCGGAAAATTGTTTATATTATGGACTATTACGAAACAACGATTCAGCTTATAATTTATTCGGCTGACGTTTTAGTACCAACAAATAGGGTAGAAAAGCTGAAATTTTCTCCCAGAAGTTTTTTACTGAAGCATTTTCTTTTTCCTTCTCGCATCCTTCAGTCCTATCAGTCTTGTCTGGTCATACTTTTTCAATTTTCAGTTTTGTTTACTTTATGACATATATTTGCTTTGTCTTTGAATAAATAATGATATTGATAATAATTATTACCCTGGATTGGACATTTAGGAGACATCCCCATAGACTTGTGCATACATTTTTTCAAATTTAAATGTGCCCTAACCCATTTTGCACGCTAAAGTTTTGCCTCTAAAGGGGGGGGGGGGCTGTGACATTAGGGAGACATAAAAATGTCTCCCTAATGATTGTTGTCTCCCATCGTGCGAAGAAATTACGATAACGTGTCTCCAAATAGTACCATTCCACAATAATACTATATGTTCATGTTTAGAATGGCTATGTTTGGGTTTTTTTTGAATACCTAAATTTACTCAAACTGTGTGCAGAATGAACAGGGCCTGCAAGTACAAGGTCACGCGTGGGGAGCTTCTGTAAGCCTGGCGCCACCCGTCTGTGAACATTTTCAACTGCGTTGCCCTTCCCCTGTTATAGACAAGTTCGGCGGCAGCCATTTTCTGCGGTGGAGCAAGGTTCGCGTGAGTCACGCTATGCTAGAAAGGTCGCTTCGGGTTCCCTCGACCAATAGGAATACCACAAATGTGCATGCCCTTGGCTCTGGAACTCTTGAATAGGAAAGCTCAGTTGCACAAATTCCAGAATTTACAATAATTTTCCTTTATATATTTCTTAAGAAAATCACCCCGGAATGGGTCTTTGTGAAATTGTTACTTGCAATTCATGGAAACGGATATATCGCCGGACATTTCTGAAAATGGTGGCGGTCATTAAAGGTGAAACTGATAGTAACCTAGAAAGCCAAAATGTCTGTTATGGTGTGGATGACCTAAATCTACTCATTTATAATTACGAAAAAAAATATTGACTATTGATAGGACTGGACCCACGATCTGCTCAAACCCTGCACCACTAAATCTAGAACCCGTCAATTTAATAAGGGTATAAATGTGTGTTTGGGATGTATTATGGAGTACAGAAGTGTGACGTCATTTAGAACCAGAAAGTGTAGCGCAAACGAACGGGCTGAATCACGCGCTTATGTCTTTCACACACATTTTGTGGGCGTGACGTATTCACTTCGGTACTCCATAACGCTCTGTTTAAGACCGGTTGGAGTCGGATGGGTGATCATTACTCGAGGAGAAGCTGAAGGTAATTATTATCACCCATCCAAAACACATTATATTCCCATTCACAAAAAACTTTTCGGTTCTAAAACCAAAACAAGTCAAAAACTAGACGTTGCGAACCATTTTGTTCAACAATTTTACTTCATGTTTTATTAAACACCCCTCTGACCATAATATGGAATGTCCCTCTACAACTCATTTCCTTATAAAGAGATTGGCGTGCGCATCGCGCGAATTGCGCGATGTCGCGAAAAACGCAGCTGGACTGGTGAAGTGTGAATTTCGGACCATGAAATATTGATTCACTGGTATAGTATTGCGCATGCATACGAGAGGAACATGAACGTTCAACCAATGAAACGTAAAATAGGCACCGCATTTCATGGGAGTCCAAATTTCATGTGACAAATGTGTTGAAGACCAACCAGCCATGTGTTGATCATCCGTTTAAAACCGGCCACGTGACGGGCTCTCGACCAATAGGAATGGGTGAACTGTATTAGGTATTTATGAATTAACGATAACAAATGATAGACTCCTCGGGTTTTTTTCATAGCACTAAATATACTTGAATTTTATTTGAATTACACTAAATAAACGAACTTGGTTATGAAAATGAATTCATCCACCGCCGCTAAAGGATTAAAGAAAACAAGGTATAAATTGGTAAACTTAAAACCTAGTGACACAAAGGACAGGGAATGACGTCACTGACAGTTTACCGCGATGCATTCTCTGAGCCAGTGATCATGCCAGTTATATCCTTAATATTTCCTTGAAGTATGTGCTCCTTATTAACATGGTACATTTCCGGGTTTTATGCATGTCAGCTTACACTTGATGCAAAACATGACTGTGTGTTTTGTTTTCATGTTTTCAAATCATGCGACGAATGTGGGTTCAATTGGTTAAAACACGGTTCTGTACGACCCTTCAAATGCACACAACTTAACCAGAACGACCAACTACTTTCCATGATTGCGACATTAATACTCAAAATACAACGGGATAAACACAGGCTGTCGTCGTTACGTTGAAGGCTATATTCGTGTCCATTAAACATCAATAGAAAAGCCTAATCTAAATACCACACTAGCCAATGACACCCATTTTAGCATTAAAAAAGAAAAAGTATATTTTGTTGCACACCCCATCACCGCTATACTATAAAGCGTAAAGATGTAATTTCCTCATCTGCTTAGGATAATCAGTACACAATTCTGTATTTATTTTTAAAAGTCTCTTTGATTTTCGTTGCTCTGTTTACATTGTGTTTGTCATTCTTGATGGTATCTGTCACTCCTCCTACTCATAACACGGTCCTGGGGTCCCTTGCTCAACCGTGACTTCACATATCTGCTGCTTGGTTACCCTCAGCAATGGGATATCCACGGTGACAAACTTGGCCGTCAAGGGAGGGTCGCACACAAAGTCCACGGTAGACCGGCGTACTTCGGCTTGCTGGGCGGTCAGGGCCGAGCCGCACATACCGTTGTTGAGCCCGGTAGAGCTTGTCCCGGCACGGACCACGGCACCGGTCAAACGAGCACCTGTCGAAAATATCGATTTTGTTTTTGTAAAATTCAAAACAGAAATTGTCCGGTTTCTGATCACCCGTATACCAATTAGTTGAAAACCTGAGACCTAGTTATAAACACCTTATGCCATTCATTTTCTAATGTCAAGGTACAAAATCAGCACAATTATTGCGGCGTCTCGACTGTTGACAAGTACCCATAATGTTATAAATCAGTAATTTATTTCAAAGAAAGGTCCCTCCATGAAAGAGTAAATTCCTGTTTTTCGCTTACCCGTGCAGTCTCCGCGCTTGTGGACGACGACCTTCTTGATGCAGTATTCAGCGACCAGGTTTACTTGCAAGTAGTTTGTTTCCGTTACTTCACCAACTAAACGAAATGAAGGGTAATAGTTTTACTTCTAATTTAATTTATTTTAAAATTCATGTTCTTTTAATAAAACTTGAAGTTCGTGTTTACAACTTCGAGGCAACAGAAGTTTTACCTGGCAAAGTCAGGGATAGCTGGGAGGGTTTTTCCAGGAGTCCTCCGGGTTGCTCTGTCAAGAGAGAGAGAAAAACAACATCAACATTATGACGAGCTTACGACAATGCATCAACATCAGATCATAGACAATGACAATATGCCATTGCTGTACCTACAAAAGTAAAAGGGATGGGTCAATGTGCACATTACAGGACAGAGCCTAAGTCAGTATCGGTCATAAAGGAAAGAAAACGAGGACGACTGCTCAATCTTTTTTTTCCAATAAATTACACCACATCAAATTGACACTTATTATGGTTAGGAAATTGCACAATGAGATTGACTTCAACGAGTTTAAAACTGCAATTCCTGAACTGCCATTCTCACTCCATCAATTGAGCTATTGGGTCCTATGATGGAGGTCTGCGTAACTGAATTTGACAATGCCTTTGTCTTTATTTATATGGCTCTGAATCTGAATATTACAAAATCTTTTGTTTTCATATTCGTGTAGCATTGGTTTGAACTCCTTATTAGTACTGTTGATACAATCCACGCACTAGTCAGCATTCTGGCATGGATCGCTGCTACACTCGTCAATATCTACTGAATTTGCCAATGCCTTTCTGTCTTTATGTACATGGCTCTGAATCTGAATATTAGGGAAAAAAATCATACTCGTGTAGCTTTGGTTTGAGCTCCTTATTAACATTAGTACTGACTGTCAGGTAGGGTAGCTTCATCAAAGTGAGAGACAATCTCAGGTTTCGAACCAAGTAAACTCACCGATTTCACAGAGACGTCCAGTATATCCTGAGGCACACTTGCAAGAGATTGTGTTGATACCATCCACACACACGGCACCATTCTGGCATGGATCGCTGCTACACTCGTCAACATCTACAAAAATCATATCACAATTTCCGGGGATAAATTGTTTTTCCCTCTTAATGGTACTTAGAAACGTTGATTCCTTTTAAAATCGTTTGGGGAAAAAGGTAATCATTGTTATGAGGGTGTTGACAACACAGGGTGCATTCGAAAATAAAACCATCGCTAATTATTGCTAGCAACTTATTGCCAAACATGCAAAACTACAAGTCTGACGCTTTATCTTCGTTTTCTTACACGATGCATGGCTTAGTTATCAATACGACAAGGACAAAATTGATTCTGAAACCCCATTCAGTGGAAGTATTGTCATGCATGTCACCGAAAATGGGCTAGATTTAGCCCATCCATTGGCAGATTACGGGATATTTGTATTTGATTTGTTTTGGCCAAGATAAGACTTTTAAAAGCACGTTTAATTCACGGCTGACAGTCAGTGAATAAGTCACCGAGTCAGGGGCAAAGAGGACTATCCAGAAAGTATTTAGCACCTTATTTTACCATCTTATTTACCATCTTACAGTGCATAGATCTGTGGGTAGATTATTTGCTGAATATAGGTTGTGCTCGATGAATGTAATCATATCCAGAAACTCGGGACCATCGTTTGTGTTCAATTCATGTCGACGAAAACTTGAGACAACTTACTGATTTCACAAGCAGTGCCTCGGTATCCTGGTGAACATGCGCACATGAAGCCATGTTCCCCGTAGTTTATGCAGATGCCATTCTTGCACGGATTGGTTGTACATCTAAAGGGAGCTTCTGTAACACACACAAACAAAAACAATATTAATAAATAAGATATAATGCCAAAAATCCTACATTTTGTCCCAAAACTATATACAAAGATCATTATTAAAAATCCTCATTTAACAAAAATCCTTGATTTTTTTGTGTCCGACGTACTGGTCTCGCATAAGGTACCCTCGTAGCCTGAGGAGCATTCACAGCTGAAACCGTCCACTTTGTTATGACAGACGCCATTCTTGCAAGGGTTGCTGTGGCAAGCATTGACCGGTTCAACAGGTTCAGCTGAGCCTGTTGATGAAAAGAAACAACGTTGGTCCTTTAGTTATGATCATTTAGATTGTAAAAGCAGCCGGCAGGCCAATTATAAACAGCGCTATACAGTTACAATACTGAAAATCCTTTGATTATGGTTTCTCTGGTTTTTTATTGTTAGAAAGTGGACGTTTAATATGCTTGTTATCAAAGATTCAGTAACTCACGCTGGGTATTGAGTATTTCAAAATATATCACATGATGTTATGTGGAGGTTACATGCCCGGACTGCAGTTAATAAATAATGTATTATTGTGAAAATAACAATACAAATTTCCAAGTCAATTCAAATCAATAGTTTTTCCATTATTAAAATAAAATAAAATATTATACACATATATAATGAATTATGATTTACTTCATTCATTCATTCATGATATATTTGAAACAAAAACAAATGAAGAATGTATAAGGCCAACTCAGTCACTGGTTCCATTCATAAGGAAGATGTACTTGATTAAAGAGAGTAACAAATACAGGATTGAGGTTATTATGTTTGAGATACGAGATGAAAAGCATCTTCAGCAAACTCAGAAATTTAGATCATGTGAACTGCGACGCAAACATTCAAGAAACCTTTGCATGTTATTCTGCCCACATTAAACAGTACATGTAACCACTTGTATACCAATCACATTTCCAGAGATGCACATTCAGGGTAACAGAGAACAGGTTGCCATAAGTTGGCATCCCCTAATCACCATATCCAATTTGGAAACAAATGCAACGTGATTCTGCAAATCGTGTCTACGTTAAGTAAAGACGTTCGAGAAGTAACCTACCGATTTCGCACAAAGTGCCCGTGAAGCCAAGGGAGCAAACACACTGGAACTTGGCCCCGTAGTTTATACACACGCCATTCTTGCATGGATTGCTGGTACATGCATAGGTAGCTTTCATTTCTGACAATATGACAGAAAAGGGGTTTTAAATGTTTATTTCGTTAGATTTTTACAAAGAGCCGCGAACCATATTTTCTAGGAATTGTGAGTCACACTAATGGTCTCATTTCTATCACACCAACGGGTAGTGCTGGTGAAGGTGTTTTATGGTTTTCAGGCAAACGACTTTCGGTGAAGAGTACAAGAACATAATGCTCCAAAATGTTCAAATTTCATAGCATGGGAAATAACTATACATTATGTTAACTCACCAGAGTCGCATAAGGTACCCTCGTAGCCTTGGGAGCATTCACAGCTGAAACCGTCCACTTCGTCACGACAGACGCCATTCTGGCAAGGACTGCTGTCGCATGAATTGGCCGGTTCAACGCGTTCGGCTATGGCTGATGATGAAAAGAAAACCTAGTTATTTGGTTGGCTTAAGATCATTTGCGAATCTGAAAGTAGTGGAAGTGCTTCGGCCAGGATGGGTGGGGATGGTGGGTTGGAAGGGGGGTGAAGTGGGTTGGTGTTCGTGGGCGTTGGGGAGGGAGGGGGCTTTGCCCCCACCCCGATTTTCCCAGGCCAACTAAAGGACCCCTCTCGCAGTTATAAATGTGCCCCCTCAAGACAAAAAAAATAACTGCCCCTGAAACTCACACGTATGAAAGCATATTATCGCGCTACCAAAAAAATGTCTTCTGTCTTGTAATGCAAAACTGCCCCTCAAAGGCATAAGTGCCCCTCTCGCATTAACAAGATTGTGCAACTTCTCGAGATGGAAAACTACGCCAGAAAACCATTCTCGCAATAGTTAAAATCCTGCCCCTCTGGAGATAAAAAATAGGCCATCAAAAACAATAGTGTTCCTCTCACGAGACTCACGATAACTTCTCGAGACGGAATACTGAACCACGAAAGCACATTTAGTGCCCCGCTCGCAACTTTAAAATTGTGCCTCGTCTCGAATAAAATGGTCACTGAACTGGCTAAAAAAAGCAACAGTGCCCCTCTCGTGATAAAAATAAATGGTCACTCTACAAAACGACATAAAAGATACACAAAGAGCAAGATGAACAACGTATTCATAATTTGTTCTCCAGCATAAAGGTTTATAGCGAAATGAACGGGACCACATTCTTTTCCTTTACTTTCATATTGACGGAAGGTGCCCCTTTTTTTTCTGAGCAAGTGTCCCTGTTTTGGTGGTGCCCCTGCCCCAGGTTGAAAAACGTTCCGCCGCCACTGATAATGCTCAAGTCAACCCATTGTTTATTGTTGGTATGCACGGATCATACAGACGAATCCGGGCACGTCATCACTATTCACTCTCAAACAGACAGTCGTGTTTTACTATACTCCCAAGGACAATGCTTTGAAGCCCTTTGACCCTGTAATTATAACACTCTCCCATAGACAAGCACGCAAACGTACTACAGAGGACTGTTTTGAACAAAGTCCCGACGCCAGAGGACTGAAATGATCTTTTGTTCTCCCTTTGTGTGTCGGTCTACGGGGGTTATGTTGAACTCGAACAAAGCAATGCCCCATGACGAATGCTGTCAACAATAGCTAGCACAGTGTTTTCGCCATTGAAGGGGAATCAGTGATAGAAGTGATTTAGAGCCCAGATGTATCTAAAGAAGAGATATGAAATCCAGAACATAACTTAAATGGGTGCGTTCCTACCAGTTTCGCAGAGAGCTCCAGTAAATCCTGCAGCACACGTGCATGAGAACTCGTTGACACCATCCACACACTCGGCACCATTCTGACATGGATTGCTGGCGCACTCGTCGATATCTGGGATAAACAAATGTATGTCAGTATTTCACAAATATATTGTACTTGAAATTTTCGAGGGACATTTGTAGAGTTTGGCACTTAATGAAGGTTCAATTATAGCTACACGATAGTATCACTTACTAGTCTCACATAAGTCACCCGCGTAGCCAGGGGAACATTGACAGCTGAAACCATTCACTTCGTCAACACAAACACCTTCATTCTGGCAAGGGTCGCTTGCACACTCATCGGTATCTGTCCAAAAAAAACAAAAGGAGATTAACGGTTTAGGCCTACAGGTAATCTGACAGATAAGATAGGACTAGCCCTATTTTCATTTTGGTTCACTGAGAAAATATTGGGTCGTATGTTGGTAAGGATGATGTCATAATGATACAAAACTGTTGCCTAAGGGAGCAATCACGTGTTCATATTGAAATTTTTCAAAAATGCTTTATCAATTAACTCACCAATCTTGCATAAAGTACCCTCGTAGCCTGGGGAGCATTCACAGCTGAAACCGTCCACCTCGTCAAGACAGTTGCCGTGCTTGCAAGGACTGTTCTTGCACCCATTTTTATCTGAGACAAAAACTAAACAACCAACCAACAAACAGAGAGTATAAGCAGCTCAGTTCTGTTTTATGAAATTGTTATGTAAATAGTTCATCAGAAATCATTCTGTTTTTGTTCACAAGTGACACATATTTACCGGTCTTGCATAGGGTGCCCCTGTAGCCTGCAGAGCATTCACAGCTGAAACCGTTACCTTCGTCATGACAGACGCCATTCTGGCAAGGGTTGCTCTCACATTCATCGATATCTGTTGAATATTATTTTAAAACTTATTGGGTTTATGGATTTAAGCTGACTGCTAAGACGATCAACCAAACGCAGGCTCAGAAAGACACCATAGCGAACCTTACCTTAGAAAACAGATAAATAGGTAACAATAATGTGTTGAATCCATTCAAGTAAACGTTTTGTAATGCCAAGCTTCCATTCCACGTCTTTAAGAGACCATGGTTCGTAAAAATATTAAAACTATTAGTTTATATCAGGTTGACGTAATAAGCTATAACGGGGGACCTGTACCTTTGTTCATAACAATTTGAACTTCATCTATCAAAGATGCGATTTTTAAAGTAAGAAAAAATTTCGAAGTAAGCATTTCTAATACTGAATGGAGAATTACCTTTATCACAAAGATCTCCAGTAAATCCTGCAGCGCACGTGCAAGAAAACTCGTTGCCACCATCCACGCACTCGGCACCATTTTGGCATGGATCGCTGCCACACTCGTCGATATCTAAAGATTGAAAATTGAAATTGTTGGGCGAGGCAGTGGGGGTCTACCTATACAATTTATGAGGAACTATCTAAGGAAAAGATCAAAACAAAAAACTAGTATAAAGCAAGTGGAGGAAAACAAAACCAAATCAAAAAGTTAGGGCGAGGCAGAGAGATTTTATGATACTAACCGGTTTCGCAGAGAGGTCCAGTAAATCCTGCAGCACACGTGCATGCAAACTCGTTGACACCATCCACGCACTCGGCACCATTCTGGCATGGATCACTGCCACACTCGTCAACATCTGGGATATAACATATTCAACAGCGGTTGGTACAGTTGTGAAGGATTTTGAAACATTTCAGATATTCACAAAAGAGGAAAGTGCACTTATTCTTCTGTGTAAACAAAATTAAAGCTAGATACTGTGGAAACTAAGTTAACGTTATGTAAACTCACTTGAGTCGCACAAGGTACCCTCGAAGCCTGGGGAGCATTTACAGCTGAAACCGTCCACTTCGTCATGACAGACGCCATTCTGGCAAGGGCTGCCCTCACACCCATTTATATCTAAGAAATGAAGGTAGGGTACAGTGTGACAAATTGGTTTAACCTCATGTCATACTAGTAAAAATGAAAAAAGACAGAAAAATAAATGCAAAATTCGATTAAGTTCATCGCAGCTTGCTACGGTGCAGACGTACTTTCAAACCAACTGTAGCCTTATACGAAAATATAAGTAAAAGGGATTGAAACCATTCTAAAAACCGTCAATGATTCAACATCATTTAGGTACAAGATAGTAGTGTGTGTTTCCGACTTACTTGTCTCGCATAGTTGACCCTCGTAGCCTGGGGAGCATTCACAGCTGAAACCGTTCACTTCGTCTTGACACACACCATTCTGGCAAGGACTGCTGCCACACTCATCAATTCCTAATGAAGAAAATAACAAGCCTTGCCGACTAGTTTATATGCTTTACAGCTGACAAGAAAGCAAATATTAGCGTTGGGGCAGTATGAAACAAAACGAGACTACAGCTCAAACACGTTAACGACGTAATTTGAAAAATACTTTAGGCTTTCAAATCATCTTCTCCAATCATCTTACACGCATCCTCCCTTTTGTTCAACCCCTAAAGGGTCCCGTGTTCGCAAAGGCAGTTTTATCCCAGGAAGATGAGGAGATATTAAATAGTTATAAAAGGAAGACACGGATTGTACTTCCAAACATTCAGAAGTTTTGCTGTAACTGCCAAAATATATAAACATGTTTGTACATGGTAACGACAAAATTACAAAGTAACTAAAACTTAGGTCCTTTGAAGCAGCTCAAGTACCGGTTTCACAAAGGGTTCCAGTAAATCCTGCAGCACACGTGCATGAAAACTCGTTGACACCATCCACGCACTCGCCACCATTCTTGCATGGATCGCTAGCACACTCGTTAGTATCTGGAATAAAAGGTATTATTTATAGGTTTAGTACAGTTATTTGATATATTTTCACATATACGGCCGTGTCTAACACCTACATTGTAGGCACATGAGACTCTCCACATGTTTAAGGGTAAGAGGGTATTGTGTAGACCGCAAAGACGGGCGGTAGCATTATTTAGGCGATTTTTATTGTGCTTAATGGTTTCATTTGGTACAATCGAAACCCGGGCTTTGTCAGCTAAACATTTTTTCCCCGAGGCACGGGGAAGTGGAGTTTAATATTTTAAACGTAGCTAGATGTACAAGTCATTGGCTGCGCTGAGATCTACATAATGGAGCACATGTATACAAGATTTAGCGAGAACACGAATATAATGTAATTGTAAAGCTATTTGAATCGAGTTGGTATCAAAGTCACGGATGATTGTGAGAAACTCAGGAAAAGGATGATTCGATTGAATCCTGTCCTTTTGCATGAGCAAAGTATAGCAAACAATAATCGACACACGTTAAAAAGGATGCTGATAATTGACACAATGTCAGCTAAACATTATCACGTTGTCAACACTAACACATTCATCCTGGTAGAATTGCGGTCACACTCAAGGTTTAGATTAACAAAGAACTTTCATGTGATTACGACGTCCGTAAGTTAAGCACGCACAAACAGTTCATTATTGAAAGGCTCACATTATTATGAATTCATGTTGTGTTGGCAAAAAGTTGTGCATGCACTTACGGGTCTCACAAAATGTACCCTCGTATCCTGGGGAGCATTCACAGCTGAAACCGTCAAATTCGTCATGACATACGCCATTCTTGCAAGGACTGTCCTTACACCCATTTATATCTAAGGAAAGAAGGTCAGTGAGAGAAATTGGTTGACCCTATAATATAGTTATGCTGGCGCAGACTCGATTCGGGTTATCGCAGCTCGCTATGGTGCAGGCGTCCTAATTAGTGGTTAGTAAAATCATATGAGGTTTTTGCCCTTAACCGCAGCAAAATCCTATAATTGATTTACGTCATTCCCACGCAAATTCATGTTTTGAATGATGGATTGTGTATTCCAACGTACTTGTCTCGCATAGTTTACCCTCGAAGCCTGGGGAGCATTCACAGCTGAAACCGTTCACTTTGTCACGACAGACGCCATTCTGGCAAGGGCTGCTGCCACACTCATCGATATCTGTTTAAAAAAAAAAAGAGTGAGAAAAACACAAAGGTTTCATGGACAACTGAAACTCTCACCGCAAGAAAATACTGGAGAACTATTGTGCAACGAGACATTCTCGGGAGCCGAGAATTGAAGACAGTCAATCCTACAAAAAAAAGTTCAGACGGAGAGTTTATGGTACAGTATATCATTTGCAGCTATTCAAACATCATACTTGGTTTAAGGCATACTTTGTTTAAAGATAGTAATGGCACTAAATGCCCTGTGAAATTATTCTTTCTGGCGTGCTGGGTTTTTTTCCTTTTCTTTTCGTTTTTTTTTTAAGAAAGACTCATTTTTTGAATTTTGTGTTAATAGTTCGTGTTAAATTCGACAAATCTGTGAGTGCGGGCAACCGTTTACACAACGCATACAGACGCGCGGTTGCTATAATTCGTCTGTTGCGTGCGTGACATCGCGTAGCTGCAATCGGCTAAATGTTGACATGTCCCGGTCGCTGATTTTGGGCGCCGTTCAAAACATGACTCGGCAACTTTTGAATTGAAATCTAGATCATAAACTATGATTTCTCAGAATATACAGCATTCACTGAGCTAACACAAGGTTAGATTAGTGGTTAAGAAACCTCCTTTAGAGTTTGAGTACTTTTGTTACTTCAATCGAATGAACAAAAGACTACCTTTAAAATTTGCTAAAACACAATAGGCTTACATACGTTTCGTCAGAAGGTCGTTCATGTGCATTTACAACAGTAAGGCCCTACTAGTAATTGACGTTTAAACATGAAAAAAAAGTACACAAATTGGGTAAACAATTAATCATAGTAACACTATGTTTATATTTTTGTTATTATTGTTGGTCAAATAAACCCTCTTATGGTTGTGGTTATTTTTTTTTTTTTACATAGGATCAAAAGGCTATCGAGACTTTATACAGATTCGATAATCTATCCACAGAAACAGTGACTTATCGGAGCGTTTTACCAACCAATAGTTAAACAATCTAAATAATTTCGTGAAAATAATAGTTGCAACTCTGTAGATAATTGATTCAACTAACCCGTTTCACAGAGAGGCCCAGTAAATCCTGCAGCACATGTGCACGAAAACTCGTTGTCACCATCTGCGCACTCGGCACCATTCTGGCATGGATCGCTGCCACACTCGTCGATACCTAAAGATTATAGAAAAGGAAAACAAGGATTAAACGAGGGAAAACAACAGAAGATAATCAAGGTGGGACGAGGTATCAACCTGTACGAATTTATTCAACTAACCAGTTTCACACATAGGTCCAGTAAATCCTGCAGCACATGTACAGGAGAACTCGTTGACACCATCCACGCACTCGGCACTATTTTGGCATGGATCGCTAGCACACTCGTCAATATCTGGGGAAAAATATAAGAATTATCTTCGGACCATTAACTTCGGGACGATTAGTGAAACAGCGGGAATTTTCAATGGCAGTGCAAGGGAAAATACAATATTTGCAAACATCAAAAAATAAAACTACCAAATCATTTTTTAAATACCTTGCTGGACTGCTAGTGAAAGGTAGTAAAATCATGGCACCTGGTATACTGTCATTTTCAAGAAAAGTGGTATTTTTGTATCAATTTCCAACGCTGGCAGGCCGACCAGCGTTGGAAAAAAACTGGCTTTTTTTCAAATTCTGGCCCGAATTTACCATATGTAGTTTGTCCGCATTTGTTTGCAATCGATTACACACCTATGAACGGGTACAAGCCAGCTAGACGGGTTCCCTGACCTTTCAATTCCACAATGTCTATAAATTGCTCAGTTTCAGCTTAAATGGAGTCAGGGAACCAGACTACAGGAAAATGATTGTTTTTCTTTGTTGTTATAGCATCTACGAACCCAAAACGTCCAAAAAGTCAGTGTAACAATATTTGCTATATATTGCCAACCCCCCAAATCCATCCATTTCTGAAAATTACAGCAAAAGCAAATGATGTATATTCCCTTTAATCTCTAAATTATCTGTTATTACCAAATGATGATGCTCATTCTGGTCAAAACAGTATTTTAGAATAATGTCTTTATTTTGCATTTAAAATGTACATGCAAAATAAAGGCATTATTTTAAAGTTCCAAAATGACCAAAATGAACATCATCATTTGGGAATAACAGATAAGCCTAGATTAACTATGCTTTCAAGTTTGATAGAAACATTCTTGGTTTCAGTTTTCATACTAGAGAACCACGCATCTTCTGTTTGGGGTAAAATGATCATTTTACATGATTTGGTTCCCACGTTTGGCGCTTTTCGACTTCTATCAGCATAAATAGAGTGCTAATTGTCATATTTAAAGCCGTTTTGTCTTCTCGTAGAAGAACTGTACAAAAGGTAATCAATCAAACAAAACAAAAATATTGAAAATTTGAACATTTAAACTGGCTTGTCGTGCCACATTAGAGTCCCACCGGTTTCGCAGAAGGGTCCAGTAAATCCCGCAGCACACATGCAGGAAAACTCGTTGACACCATCCACGCACTCGGCACCATTCTTGCATGGATCGCTGCCACACTCGTCAATATCTAAAGGAAAGAGACAAGAAAGACAATAAATAAGATTTGAGGCTTTGCATGGTGGAGATACTAATGAATAAAAGGTTTGCGGAAACACCACAGGTGCGAATAATTTCTCAACTAAGAGAGGGATAAACTCTGTTTTACACCTCTGGTTCTTTTCAGAAACATTCTCTTAGTTGAGAAATTATTTACACATGTTGTTTCCGCAAACCTTTCATTCACAATCAAGACAATGATTTAGCAAGCAAGGGAAAACAGAAACACATTCCGAGGCAGGAGGAATCTATACCTAGGCTATACAATTTCATTATACTAACCGGTTTCGCAGAGAGGTCCAGTAAATCCTGCAGCGCATGTGCATGAAACTCCATTGACAGCATCTACGCACTCGGCACCATTCTGGCATGGATCGCTGCCACACTCGTCAATATCTGAATGACAGACAATATTAGATCTCGTTCAAATTACGTCATTTCCTACAGGCCATCCACGTGCATCGGCATTTTGAGCGTCAACTTGCATAACGCGCATCGGCTGCGTCGTATTCCGAAAATATTTCCAGCAACAAGCGTGCGTGTTTCGAACATTAATGCGCAATGCGTGCTTGATTGCATTGTTGCATTTCTCCTACAGAGATGGCCGTCATTGGGCGAGCCCTATACAAGACATTTAAAAAAAAACACCAATACTGATAGCAATACAGAGATACAGGGGTAGGCGACAGGATACTTCGCACAGTTTTACTGTTTGAGTGTTCGTGCCATTAACTTTTCTCTTCGCTCAAAACATAGAAATATCCCCACTATGGCGCCATGGGTATATTGCTCTAGAGGCTCAAGAACGGACTGACCGAGAACAAAAACAATAATTGGCTTGCTCGATTTCATTCAACTATCATAGGCAGAACCTACATGCCATTCACCCAAACCTGTACGCATTTCACGTAATTTGCATGCTCTATTCTCAAGTTTTGTCTACGTTAATGAAAAGATTATTTGAGTAAAATCTTATTTGTATTTGAATGCTTGTGTGTAATCTGTAATTCTCACTCAGCTCACTAGCTTTCATTGACATTCCATGGAAAGCTATGAAAAAAAATAGTTTCTTTTATTTAAACATGCATAACTTCTGAAAGCATGCATCAGTTTCAGTATTGTTTTTCCAAAATGAGTGGAAGAACATGCTCTTTTGAGACATATTTCCAGTGTGTATGAAATTTAGTTGATTTAATTAAAGGGAACATAATAATTAATCTGGGTAACTTTCTTTTTGACTCACCCTGCACAGAACATGATGGAGGTTGAACTAGAGTCTGTGCTCATTGAAACATTACATTAAAGGGATTGAAACATGATTTCTCATTTTATATCAAGAAGAGGGATTTCAGTAGAAATTTTACGTTTTGTGAATTATAAGCTAATTTAGTCCAAAACGGAGTGATAATTATTCAGATGGATACACACGCAAACCAACCTTCTCATTTAGCTAAACACAAGCCACATTATTTGATTGATGAACTCAATATAAGTGGCACTCATCAAGTTAGGTTTTTCCCTTCACCGACGTATAAACACCGTATACTCCGTGTGTTACCTCCCGGCTCCCGAGTGAAAGTTGGAAAAAAATAACTCGGGTTGGACTCAAACCCACGACCTCCTGCTTTCTAGTGCAGATGCCTTACCACTCGACCACCGAGCTGACGGGCTGGTTCGAACGTGATGTACATAACAGCGGGTACCGCATTAATTATGTCACTTAAACATATTAAGTGAAGGGCAAAACTTAACTTGATTTACATTACCCCGACGCAAAATTCCATCTTATAATAAGTGGCACTGTTGTGACGTTTTCATCGTTTTACAGTAAGCTTATAGTAAGAAATATAATCAACTATCTGACAAAAAGGCATATACCTGGTATTGAACTGTACTAACCGGTTTCGCAGAGTTGTCCAGTAAATCCTGCAACACACGCGCATGAAAACGCTTTGTCCCCTTTCATGCACTCGGCACCATTCTGACATGGATCGCTGCCACACTCATCGGTTACTGAAGACAAAGTAAAAACAAACGATAATGATAAAAGAAACAAATAAAAAATCAACAACAACAAAAACGGACAATAATCCGCATTTTAAGCCAAAAGTTATTTTTTGTAACAGTTTATCATGTGGTCGGCCCATGTGCAGCAGTGTTTTATCAATATTAGACAAATGGTGTCGATAAATTTCATTTGGCAGTATAGTTTAGGGGCAATGTATCCTTAGCCTTGAATTGTACCCGACCGGGTGGCGAATTTTCTTTTCCCAAACTATGCATCCATTACGCAATTTTTTTTCTTCCTCTTCGATGCTTTTATTATAATGTACGCAGATATATATTATCTTGTTCGAAGAATTTGTCGAGCAGTGCGATAGCTCACTTGGCAGGGTCGTGATTTTGAACCGCGAGGAATCCTCGCGGTTTGGGTTCGAGTCACCGTTTTAGCCTGTTTAGTCACCGTTTCAGCCTGTTTTCCCTAATCTTAGGCTTTGGAGGATTTATTCTATGGGAAATTAATACGTTTGAATTTCTTCTCATATCTATCTTGTGTCTTTAGAGAAGTAAAGTCCAAAACGCCATAGCGTACGTACACCCCATGCGGATGTCGGTTTGAGGAGAAAAATCGCGACCAGGTGGGTGTTTTCAGTAGGAATCTAAGATGTACAAAAGAGAGCCACTGTTCCCGTTCTTGTTAGCATTTTGAAATAATTGTTCCCATTGTCTTTTTTTTCATTTATGTAGTTAATTCTCCAGCGCAAAAAAAGTGACCAACTTTTCATCTGCTAGATTGCAACAAATTATAACAAACTTTATACTTTTGGTATCGAGCCACCCACCCGGCCCTTTTAGGGTTAGAACTTGTTTATTTGTAATTCAAAAGAAATATAAACAAAAATAAAGAAGGAACTAAAAAGTATTAATAAACTGACAAAAATACAAACAACAAATTATAACTAGAAGAAACCTAACTCGAAAAGAAAATGAAAGGGATTATGTTTACTTACAGATTCGGAAGTGCAATCTAAAGCCTTTTTGCTTGTCCTGGTTGGCGTACGTTGTCTGGAAGAATATCCACACCTTGTTGTCATTCACCACAATCGTCTCGTTTGGAAAGTTCTTAAGCCTTACCGCATCGTCACTCCTACTGGACAATGTACCACCTGGCTGGTAGACTAGGAAGTTATTCATCTTAAAATTCACATCTACATCATCAAATCTTAGCTCGATCATCTTTGCATCAGGAGAGCCGATGATGTAAGGACATCGTAGATTGATTCCGTACGGTTCAGGGTACCCCGGCGACTGTATGTTACCCTCATACTGATCGTAGATGTAGCGATCTTCGTCAGAGCTTGGCTCGCAGCGTACTCCTGGATTTGTTTTAGAAAAGTTAAAATATATTTTTAAAAAATCGGATGCAAGAATATGAATTAAGAAAGCTGTGTCGTTAATGCTACGAGATCGTTCTGAATGTCCTAAACGATCTGCTCAAGCAGGCGGGTGTGACTCTTACTACTCCAGTTTCGTACCATATTTTCTCAGTTTCCTTTGGTGAATGGTGAAGCCTATCCTTGGTACCAGTAGGAGGTGAGTCTGAAAGTTGTGCTGGTCTTTATATACTGTGAAGACTACTGGCTAGTGGGATGGGTCCAATTTCTCAATGATGAACATATATCGACGCTGCCGAAGCTCTGCGTCTAAAAGGGGTAGCCATCAGAATCCCATTTTCAACAGCACGATATGTTTGTTCTGCTGTCGATTATCCAGACCAGCGTATACCACTAACGAGCGTATTCTCGTCTCCTGTATGAGCGTTCCGTCCATCCAAGCTCTTCTGGAAATTGGCCCCTCTGCAAGAATTTCCTTTGCAGGTCTGCCGAAATGCGAAGCCACTCCTTCCTCTTGGAAGTGGTCGTCCAGACCTCGTGATCCAAAGAGACAGCCGGAGAGGGACCACGCTGCGGTCACAGCGAAACTTGGAAGAGAAGTGCAAGGCCCCATGCTGCCCCATTTTGTTGATGATTTCGTTTGCAGTGCGTTTTGCGTATGAGTTTTGAATTATTCCAAAATTTCTGGGTAAAAAAAATCATATTTTGCAAGTTCCTCATTCAAATATTAGTCAATAATATGTTAAGGCCCCTTAAAATTCAGTTGAAGCTTTGACCCAGAATTTCTTAGTTATTAAACCACCAGCTCCAGTAACGAGACTAATCTGTTTACGTCAACAACTTGGGTTAGACGGCCTTGATCCGCACAGGGTACCTGTTCATCCACTAGAGCAAGCACTTGTTTGTCCGTCAACTCCAGCCATATGTTAGGAGTCAGAGGTTAAAAATAAAACCAGATATTGTGTATTCAATAACCTTCAGATCGTTTAACTTACCCATTGCCGTCGCTTCACAGAAGTCGCCGTTTTGTCCATCAAAGCATTTGCAGAATGCTTGCCCATCAGGTCCTGGTGCACATTCTGCGTTTACGCACGGGTTTGGAGCGCAACCAAGACTAGCATCTAGTAGGACAATTGAAAGATCATCAGGCGATATTCATGAGGTAACACTCAACAGACTTTCGAAGGTATTTTACCACATGAAGAATATGTGTATTTGTGTTAAAATGCAAGTATAGCAATGTTATCATTTTGCTTTTGTGGGTCGGAGTTGTTATTAATTTGTTACTGTTTTGGCTCTGATTGAAATATGGTATTTCTTGAATAGCAAGAGCGGTTAGAGGGGTGATAAAGTTAACAGAAGACGTACCTTTATTTGTATCAATATTAATTTTATGTCACATACTACAAAGAAAATTCCCAATTATACTTGATTTTCCTGAAGCGGTTTCATACAGCATTGTAGATCTGGAATCATTACTTCTCTCTTAATGACTCCGTATGTACATTAAAAAAGTATTACAAAGAGCATTTGCATTTTACGAATTCAATTGTGTTATGACCAAACAGAATAAGAATGTCTAGAATAAACAGAGCCTACCTTTCTTGCATTGATCGATGGGTAATTCCCAAACTCTGACCTCACACAGCTGCAAGGTAGCATTGGGAGAGGGAATACCAATGATGATGGCCTGCGACAAACCCGGTAGCTGACTGCATTTGAAATCCACCGTTCCACCGGGTACAGCAGCCTGTTCAGCCGTCACAGGCGAGCCGCAAACAGTGTTCCAATTCAATTCAAATCCCCCTGAATTCCCAACTTTGACGATGGTGCCCGTCAAACGCTCACCTTAGGATATTAAAACCAAGATTTTTGACTGTTTCAATTTTTTGGTTTTTGTTAAAGGTAGAGTCCATCATTTGTAATTTGTGCATTTTGTTCGTTTGAAGCAACAAAAGAGTTCAAAATCTAATGAAGGATACTGAGCAACTAACCTGATGAAGTTTCAGCTAAGCTTCAGCTGTACATTCTGAGAAAAACAGCATTCTAAGATCTCAATTTCAAATCAAAAGTTGCTGAATCATGTTTTGAATTGTTTTGAATTGCAACTATACGCGACGTCGCGCACTGATCCGACGAATTATAACAACCGCGCGCGCGTGTGCGTCGTTCGAATACTTGTGCGCGCTGCGCTGAATAACAAAACGAACTACTAATTTAAATTTTCCTACGGTGCTTCTTAAGAATCACCGTTGGAAATGCCTTCTTTCGTTGATTACTTCAAAATGACAGCTTCCCAGAAAGAATAATTTCACAGGGAGTTTAGTCTCCTTACTATCTTTCAACCAAGTTAGTTTTTCAACAATAATTACGCCAGTTACTTTTTGGATGGCTGCAAATGATGGACTCTACCTTTAAGGGGGAATGGGGACTACAGAAAGAACATGCATGCTCAAGTGTTGGTTTAGTTCACCCCAAAAGATGCAGAATTTATATTACTCACTGGTGGCGCTGTTCATAGTTGATACTGGTGTCGGCGTGAGATCAGCGCGCTCATGTACGATTGTACGTGGGTTCGAATCCCGCCCCGAACATGGTTTGTTTCGTCATTGAACAAAACACTGAACTACAACTGCCTCTCTCTACCCAGTTTTAAACATGGGTACATGTGAGGGTAAAGGACCGAATGTGCGCTGATATCGGCTGCCGCGTGGGCTCAAGGCCTGATGAACAGGTCAATAATTGTAATGTGCTTCGTGGTCATTGGTACTATTAAAGGCGCTATATAAGCGCTACAATTATTATTATAACAAAACAGAAATAAAGAGAAAACCACAATAATGACAACAAGAATATGAGATTGTGTTTGTTAAAATTAAATTTCGTATCTTCATTTTCTTTTTGATTTAACCTTTGAATAGATAATCATACTAAAAAAAAAAAAAAAACAGTGTTGGTACAGTTCGTATCCAGGAAAATCGACAATTACTTACTATCACCGTCACCACGGTTCAAGATACTGACTCTGCTGATGCAGCGTGGCTTGTCGAGAACTATTCCTAAGTGGGGGTTTTCCTCAGCCTCTGAAATAAAACAAAAGCAAAGGTCCCTTACAACATTTTACTGTTTCCAGAAGGCTGGCCTGCTGTCCTCTCTGTACCTATATCTGACTGAGTAAATGAGTGACCGACTGCTAATTATGCTTAAACTGGTTTTGAACTGGTGACGAATGCTGAGCAGTGCTATCGTATAGGATTACCGCACAACGCAAATGTTTGGACTAAATCCGGCACATTGTGTAGGCAAGGTACATGAAAGAATTTCCAATGAAATAAATCTTATCCAATGAATTGTGTGCTCTCTAGTATCAGATTTTTTAATACCTGATTTGACGTGTTTTGTTTGAAGCATTTTCGTCTCTTGATTTGGTAGTTAGCTATTTGTTTGAGTTAAATACTAATTAACCTCCTCTGGTTGCTTAACATATTAACTGTCTGATGTATTTTTGATGTTCTGACATGAGAACAGTACAAATAACAAACAAAAACAGAGCTTACCAGTAATCGTGCAACTCCCTCCGTACATTTCTCCATCTTCACCGAGCAACTTGGTGTCGTGATATCGACCATCAACAACCTTCTTGGCAAACTTGTTACTGTTTCGCTCGCCGACAGCGGAGCTTTGAAATGCTTGACTGCCTGTGATATTCACCTCCGTTTCTCCAATATTTACTAGGCAAACAAAAGTTACAATTCACTTTAACCGAGTCTATGAGAAAAATACATAGCCAGTGCAAGTGCCCCTTGCAAGAAATGTTAACCCCCCCCCCCAAAAAAATTACCTTGCTACGCTACTGTTATGTTAATAATTGTCTGGGTTTTTCCGCTTTATTTTCAAATGTATAACATATACATGAAAATGTAAATTAGTTGAAAAGAAAAAAACGGGACACTGCCATTATTTGCATATATGCACATCGTCACCGTTTTCACGAAAAGCCACATGTGTCAAAAACATACCATTTTTTTCGACTTCGATTTTTTTCACTTTTTGGCTTTAAAACATTGTACTTAACCAAACTACACTAATGTTGCAAGGGCCAGAAATTAAACGAGTACAAAACCTATTGCACGGAAGGCGTAAAAAGGGGGTCCACTGAGATTTTCGTTTTCACGAAGAGCCACATAATCTATGTTTCATTCTCAGCTCCGCGCGCGTACACATGCGCGCCTATTGAAAAGCACGTTGAACAGAAAGGGCCAAACGGTAGAAAACGTGAATTTTTGTTTTTACGAAGAGCCACATATCTTTACTAATTAATTTTCACTAATTAAATACTGTATTAACCCTAACGTACCAGAATCCATGAAAATCCACACCCCTGTTTTGGGGATTTCGGGGGATTCAGGATACCTTCATATAGAAAAAGTTGAGGGATTTTGAAGAATTCAGGAAGTGAAGCCTAACCGCAGGTTTTGATGGATTCAGGATACCTCCATATTGAGCAGTTGCGGGACTTTGATGGATTCAGGATCTCAACAGATTTACTCCCGGCTAAGTGGTGGATTCTGATGGACTCACTGGCCACCAAAAACTTTTTGCATGGCAAAATTGATGGATTTTGGCGGATTCAGGATACTTTCTAGTAAATATACCCAAGGGGTTAGGGTTGACTGGGATCACGTAAAAATTCAGCTCTCATAGAATCTTATGATGGTTTCATTGCTGTACAAAGTTGTTGCAAAATGGTATTTTTGCAGTTTAAAAATAAGAGAAACTTCCCTTGCGATTATCTCGAAAACACTTTTTCTTCAAATCCATGTGTGGCTCTTCGTGAAAACAGTGACGATATGTTTGGTTCAATACAGTGAACATTCAATGAAAATAATATCAGTCCTTTCGTGTCCCCATAATCATACCTTTCGACCCCTTCCATTCTTTCTGTTGCTGTCTATTGTGTCATGTGTCCATTTTCTGATTGATTATTTATATCTTTATCTTTATCTTTATATTGATATTGGTAAGTTTTAGCTAAAAATACTGTCTGTACGGTATCATGCTTTTACAGTGCGTCAAAAGCTATCGAGAGTTAGTACACAGAAACAGCGACTTGTCGTGGAGTTTTCACAAACAATCTTCAAACTAACTTCGCATAGTGAACAAGTACTTGTTACCGTCCACACAATTTTGAAGTTTAACTATTGAAACTCTACAAATGATACTAACCAGTAGAACTACCGGTTTCGCAGAGATCTCCAGTAAATCCGGCAGCACACACGCATGAGAACTTGTTGACACCATTCACGCACTCGGCACCATTCTGGCATGGCACACTAGCACACTCGTCCATATCTATAGAAAAGATGAAAGAAAACCCCCGTTAAAACTAATAAGGAAAACAACAACAAATCAACAAGGTGGGGCAAGACAGGAGTAATCTTCCTAATACGACCCTGCACAATGTATTTCATGCATTACGCGAAAAAAGTCCCAGCTATAGGCATACCAGACAAATGAAAGATTACAATACTTTTAATTTAACCCCGACCGGGGTCTACATGCCAATGCCAACAGTTTTTTCTTTCCATGCCAGTTTACGAAAACTCAGACCCACTTGGAGGGATTCGGCCACCTACCAGTTCCTGGGCACTGGTCCAAAGGTACCTCCCAAACTCTGACCTCACACATCTGCAATGAGGCGTTTGAAGAATCGATTGAAATCCTGAGCACGTTGGCCAGTATCGGTGAGTCACAGTCGATGAGGATGGTTGCACCAGGCACAGCTGCTTGCTCGGCTGTCACAGAAGAGCCACATGTTTGAATTGAGTCTCCACTCCCAACGGCAGTAACGGTAGCACCAAATAGACGCTCACCTGAGGAAGGACAATCGAATCCGAATCAGAGATGTGGGACACTAAAACATCTGATAAAACAACGACCTCTCGTTAAATACTTATGTAGCACAACCTGTTTTCAAGCAATGAACGATTCAGGCTATTTGACATACTTGGCGCGGCAGGCAGATAAACCACGGACTGTTACCCATGGTTTCATGGAAATTTGATTGAAAGAAAACACACCGAACAAAATAAATAAAGATCACTCAGACAAAAAGGTCTGACTTACTTTGGCCGTCTGCACGATTGAGAATGCTGACTCTGCTGATGCAGTGACTCTCGTTGAGGGCTAATCTCCAATAAGGATCTTCTTGAAAACCTAACAAGAGCACGTTTCAGAGAGAAGAACATAACTATTTCTAATGTTTTAACGATATTTAATATCTGATTCAGATGTCATGGGAATTGGTATCTTATACTCGAGTATCATAATTATGTCTACAATTAATTTTTAGCACAGCAATTGCGGATATTAAATTAACAAAAAGCACTGTGCTGTTTTTGTTTTTTCAAAACTGATAATGACAAGAAGTTTTCTTCTGATTTGGTACAAATGAACTCATTGAATATGATGAGAACCAAATACTTCTACAATTCGTGTGTAAGAGACATCGTAGTAACAGTTGTGTTCAAGCAGCGTAAAAGTTACTTTGAAAGGTCAGCATAAAATCATTGAAGTATGTCACAATATCAGTACAATGCTAGAATTGTAACAATGTTCTCCCTGATCCACTTTGAATGCAATAAAGCGCCAAAACCCTGTAGACGAGCGGTCTCTTGGAGCCAAAACCTTGCAACAAAACTAAAAAGGTGCAGATTCACAATCAGCTCTCGGCGTCTTGCAGAAAAACATCCTCCGAAGCCTCAACACACAGGGTTATGGACTTCATCAGCCAATTGGATGGTCTAGCGACTAGAAGTTTTATGGTTTTATGAGCGATAACCCGCCGCAGCGATAACTGGCCTTTGTGACTTTTTTTCAAGAATTATATGTATTTTTGTACAGTTAAAATTTGGTAGTTACATGTTATTGGACACTTAAGGGGGTTCGTTTTTGGCCTTTTTTTCGGGGACCAACCGATCGACCACAGAGTGACATGTACTAGCTCTGTTGCCAGAGCTGAGAAACATGCCTGTTTCAATAAACCCCATTGACTTGAGAGCAAGGCAATTCGTAAATCTTCAACAAGGACCTAATAAAATTGTCCCCGATATTCACCAACTCACGCAGTAATTAATGTATTCTCACCTGTCATGGAACAGCTGCCGCCTTCGACGTCAACATCATGAATCATTTTGCCATCGTCATACCGTCCATCGACAGCTTTTGATGCGTTAAACTCGCCCGTGACAGATGCTTGGCTAACATCTGATCCAACAATATTCAACTCTGTTTGCAACTCGCGACCTGGAGAAATAGACGTGAAAGAAATTAGCTCGTTTAGCTTGAAAGACAGAAAGGGTGCTTCAAGAAGGTAAAGGTAGCAAAAGGTAGGGGAACAATGTAGCAAAGCCAGCCAATTAACCAGCCAACCATCAAACCTAACAACAAGGGTCAACAAGCCAACCAGACAGCAAGCCAGTCAGCCAACCGGCCAAACACACTCTGCAGCTATCCAACCTGAATCCAGTCGGCCAACAAATCAACCTGCCAGCCAGCACACCAGCCGGCAGCCAGCTAGTCATTAGGTTAGCCAGCAAACCAGCAAGGCCGTCAGCCAACCAAGCTGAGAGTCTTCCAACAAGTAAGCCGCCCAACCAGCCAATTAGCAGGCAAGCAAATCTTGGCCTGACGTACGTACGAAACCATAACCATTAATGCTGAATAAATTTCTGGGTTGGTCCTTTATGTTACAACTGATAATGTAGTAGCCAAGGGATCCCGTATCACCAATCGACAATGTCACATAAATGATCGATATTGTATCACTCTTGTCGGTGAAGAAACATTACGAGTATCATACAGAGAAATATTAGAACCACATTTAAATATTAGTTCAGTATGTCAATTAGACTTGTGGCACAGATTTCCTTTGAAGATAGAATTCCCAAGTATGGAGACACGTTTCGTTAGGGAATTCTGGCTCCCCTCGGCCCGTTGTACAGAGCGACAGAAGTCCCTTCCACACCGGCGTAGCCCGTGATTCAGCCACGGTCATGCCCAGTGCGATTCAACACCGAGATTCAGCCCGACATTTGGTGGATGGTAGTCCGAATCAAACGGTTATGTTTTGTAACACGTGCAAAAAATCCCTGCTGATTTCCTTTGCCTTTGTGCGCAAGGGACAAAAGTATTTGTTACAGATTATATTTTGTGTCCGAAAACCCCAGAAAGTAATGTCTATGACGATATTAGGGCTTTTCTAAAAGCGACAGCTCCTGGAGACCTTGAGAGAAAATGACCCGATTATGTGGACCCCTGTATATTTTCAATTGACCGTTGCCGCTTCCTGCCGCCAGGCCCGTTCATGCGCATGCGTGCATAATTATGAATTTATTAGTAAAAAGGTATATGGGACATAAAGAAACTTTTAAATATACCTTTTTCCCATACTATTCCAGTGTCAGATATCGGTTGTTTTGCATTTCCATTATCCGTCCACACATGATACATTATTGGAACGAATCTGTACTGCATTATCGGTCTAATGTTGTTGCATTATTGGTAGGTAATTCAATATCGGTCAATTTGTGTGACATTATATTTTGGTGATACGTTATCCCCTGTGTACTACATTATCAGTAGTATTAACATATGGCCTACAAATTAAAATTCCGTGTATTGAAGCAATCGGTAAACTAAACTTTGATTGGTGAAGGCCGTTTGTACCCCTATTTGCTCAAGAATCTGTTACGTAGCTACCCCTCCCCAACAGTTGTCTATGTCCCAACCCCTTTTAAAGTTTTGAATTGAAAAAAAAATATGATTTGCTTTCAGTGGCCGTCTTCAAAATGTATAGATCCTCAGGTTCCTCCACCCCCCCCCCCCAGAAGTTTAACCCTTGCTACGCCACTGTCAAGGCTGAGAAGTATTTCAAAAATCATACCTTGGTTGCATTGGTCCATTGGAACTTCATACACTCTAGTCTCGCACACAAGCATCATTGCAGGGCGAGCAGTACTTATGATGAGGGTATCCGCCTTGATGGGTGGGTTGCAATTAAAATAGGTGGTGCCGCCCGCTGCAGCTTGACTGCTACTGACAGGTGAACCGCACTGACTGTTGACTGTCGATGGTCCTATCCCTACATTCACGACAGCATCCGCTGCCAAACCAGCTATCGATACAATAATGTCAAAAGGAATGGATTTGGGTAAGTTTTGTCCAAAATTACAAACAGCGCTAAGGTCAAAAAAAAAGTCTCCGGTTTCTTGTATGCGCGCGCGTCGCCATAGCCCTGCGCGTCGGCAAAATGAAAAAGGTTTTTTTTCAATGAAAGATGATGTCTCAAAACCGCCAAACTCACTGGTTTGACTGGAATCCTGCTGTTGCACAATTTTAAAGTGTTTTTAGATTGGGTTATGGTCGAGAATAAGCTTTATCTGGCCTCTCTGGACGCCCATATATTTGCACTAAGTTTAGTCGGGCACCATTTGCAGTCATCAGCCGACATTTGAAGCAAAAAAATCAGGTAAAAAAAAAAAAGCCGCGTCGCCGCACAACTTTTTGGGCAAGCTCCATACCAGAAACCGGAGACTTTTTTTTGGCCTAACACTCTGGATCCATAAAAAAAAAAATGATGCGTATTTAAAGCTGAAGAAAAAATACAATTCCATCTGAACAAAATTACATATTAGAGCCTGACACGACGAGTGGTTCTAGGCTCGGAATAAAGCTTCAAGGACTGTCATAGAATGCCTAAGACTACCCATGACTGTTGATAAGTTTTAATGTCTGTCAATGACTAATAAAGACTTGTCAAGCCTGCCAAGGTCAGTCAGACAGCCGGAGACTGTCAATGACTCACAAAGACTGTCAAAGACTCCCAATGACAATCAAGGACTGTCCCAGACTATCAAAGACTTTTAAAGACTACTCATGACTTTAAAAAAAAAAAACAAGAACTGCCCAAGACCATAAAAGACCTTGAAAGACCGTCAAAGAGGGTCGATGACTCTCACAGACTGCCCAAAAGACAGTCAAAAGCTGCAAAAAACTATCAATGACCGCGAAGACTGTCAAATTATGTCATTGACTCCCAATGATTGTCAAAAATTGCAAACGATTGTCAAGACTTTCAGACTGCAATGACTTTCAAAGAAGGCAAAGAGCTGCCAAAACTGTCATAGACTGTCAAAGACCGGGACTGACTGCCAGAACTATCGGTGACTGTCAGCTTGTTGAATGTTGTCACTTTACGATAGTCAATAGTGTCAGTCAGTGAAGAATGGCAAGAACTGTCGCATACTGTCATATACTGCCTAAAACTTCTATCAGACTCTCACAGACTGTCATAAGCTGATTTTGACTGTGGATAAATTTTAAAAGACTGTCATTGACTGCCATGGACTTTCTAAAAAAAGTCTTTTTTTAATGCATGTTAAGACTGAAAACGGTAAAATCTGTCAGTTACTAGCACACACTTGTCAAAGACCCTCAAAGACTGCAGATTGCCCAATGACTCTTACAGATTGTTGAAGGCTGCCAAATGTTGTCAAATATTGCTACGGACTGCAAATACTTTCAAAGACTCTAATGACTATTTGTAAAGAGTAACTTTTCACCTCCACCCGTTCCAGTCAAAACGCTGACCCTGCTGATGCAGTGCATCTCACCCAGGTTCAATTTCCACCACGAATTTTCTTCGGGACCTGTGAACAAAAAGAAATGGCGGAACTGTATTTGACAGGGGTTTTATAATATAACATGCAGTTCACAAACTTATGTCTATTTGGACCTCACTTATGTCTCTTTGGAGTCACTTTCATATTCACCGTCTTTTTCATTTTCAAAATTGAATATTGAACATTTCATGTCGCAGACATTTTGGCGCATGTATACAATAAACAGTGAGGATTGTCGGGTGCGTTGTCATTATACATCAGCTGGATCAGAGTAAAGAAGCTAATGTAGCTAATAGTACGCGATCAATGATAAAAATACTTGAGGATCGAATGAAAAAAAGTTTAAGGACTTTTCATAGTTATATTTATTTTTGCGCTCCAGTCTATTGTTTTGTTTATTATTAACCAAATATATAAACACAAAAAAGACAAGATTAAGGTAACACCTGTGAATGAACAGCTTCCACCTTCAACTTCTCCCTGGGAGTCAACAAACATGTCGTTATCATATTGACCATCCACAGCTTTTGAAGCCCACTGCGTTGTATTAAGCCCTTTAAAACGGAAACTTTGTTCAGCATCCCCACCGACGACGTTCAACTCCTGTTGCCCCTCCGGTCCTTTTGAGAACAGAAACATATAATTTCTATAAAGTCACATTAACTAGCGACCAGCCAAACCGTGGACGCGGAGAACAGCCAACTATCTAGACTGTCAACTATCTAGACGCGAGCCAGCACCCGGGCCAGCCACCAAGCCTGACAACCAGCTTACCAACAAGGAAACCAGAAAAGCGGCCAGCCACCAAGCCTGAGAGCCATATAGCCCACGTACATACAAGCCAGTCAGCCGGCTGGCCAGCAAGCCTGACGGCCAGCTGACCCACAAGGGAGCCAGCCAGCCGGACAGCGATAAGGTGGAGTTGCTCGAGTAAAAACAGTCGTTCGTTGGCCAATATACAAAACTGCCATAGAAATCTGAAATATCTAATTTCCCAAGTTACATGGCTTCTCAATTTACAATTTCTGATTGTCTGTAATTCGCATATCATATCTGACATTATGCCTGTAATGTCCGTGTGTGTCTTCCTCCTGTCCTGTCCTGTCTCTCTTTTTTTCTGTCATCAGGGGCGGATCCAGGAACTTTTGCAGCGGCCTTCAGGCCCGTCAGCTATATATTTTGGTATGTATTGATTTGTTGTAGATAGGCAGACATAATAGGTAATTGTTAGAATTGTTTTAATTATCTGTTGGCGTCGGTGTTTTCGCCCCCAACCCCCCGTGGATCCTCGCTTGGTCACCGCTTGTTTTAATTGGTATGTGTTCTTCCTTCGTCCGTCCCTAATATTTGTAAGGCATTGCTCTACAAGCACCGGCTTCTTGAAATACCTTCATGGCTACTAACTCTAATATTTGTTATAATATTACTTCTGTTGACTGGTCTGGACCAGCTGACTTCATACGAAGATTTATCATGTGGATATGTAATGAAAAGCAAGAGTGCTAACCAAATTAATAATCAAGTCATTTGTGAATAATTACCTGGTAAGCATTGCTCCAGTGGAACCTCCCAAACCCTCACCTCACACAACTGTATTATAGCGTTGTCTGAGGGAATACCAATGATGACGTATCTCGATAGGACTGGCTGACTGCATTCAAAGTCAACCGTGCCACCGGGTACTGCAGCTTGTTCAGCAGTCACAGGCGAGTCACAGCCGGTGTTATCATCTAATTCGAGAGACGGTTCTCGACCAACTCTGACAACAGCTCCCGTCAAACGTTCACCTTTGCATAACAAACATTAAAAAAATGTTACGGCCAATCCCCAGAGCGACATGTTAGATTTATTTATTTTCTGGTAATGAACCAACGATCTTCGAAAGTGCCCTAGGCTCTGTAGCTCGAAACCAGAAAACGTTTTAGAGGTGGGAGGAACACCCCAGAATAATATTCTTGGGAAAGCCCCTGGGAATGTTTTAAAGAGTCACTTGAAGAACATGATTATCGGACAGTTGCCATCTGCTTCTCGTTCTTTCGCTTTATTAAATACAAATTGATGGACGTTGATAGTTGTTTTTTATAGGCTCCCTTAGTTCGCTAAAGTAACGACATCTGAAGTACCTGTGGTCATCACATTGACGTTCATTCAGCAAAACAATCGTCACTGTATTTCTCAATGCAGTTTGGGTGATTAAGCCTTCAAGCTGGACAAATTTAATTCTCCTTTCTCTGCTTTTTATTGCCCATAATGTTTCTGACCGAATGAGGGCGCTATAACTTAATGTGTTGTACCTTTCCATCATTCTTAAAGTTAACATTGAAATTATTTTGACATTGAATTATTTTAACTTGAATGGTATAACATCCATTTTCACACCCCCAGGGCGTATTCGAAACCCCGTTTTCATGTTCAATGAACACGAGAACGGGGTTTCGAATGACGGGAACCAACACACGAACGATGTACGCGAACAAGATTCTCAAACCCCACTTATTCGGGAGTAGATAAGGCCAAAAACAAGTCTCCAGTTTCTGGTATAGAGCTTGCCCAAAAAGTGGTGCGGCGAAGCGGCTTTTTTTTTTTTTTTTACCTGTTTTTTTTTGCTTCAAATGTCGGCTGAGGACTGCAATTGGTGCCCGACTAAACTTAGTGAAAATATATGGGAGTCCAGAGAGGCCACATAAAGCTTATTCTCGATCATATGCCCATCTAAAAACACGTTAAAATTGTGCAGCAGCAGGATTCCAGTCAAACCAGTGAGTTTGGCAGTTTTGAGACATCATCTTTTATTGAAAAAAAAACGTTTTCATTTTGCCGACGCGCATGGCTACGGCGACACGCGCGCATACCAGAAACCGGAGACTATTTTTTTTGGCCTAACGAACGTCAGGTACAAAGACGGAGTTAATATTTGTGTACAAAATGGAAAGCATTCATTAAGTACAGGAGCAGTAACGATAAAAAAAAAATTGTACGTGGTTATAGAGTGAGCTTGTCAGCCTTGTCTCGCAAAATTTTATAGCTGTTTCGGGATTTCAATTAGTTACGTATTAATTCAATTAATTGGCCTCTTTTCATTCGGCGTTTTGATACGGCGGCTGCCATCTTGAATTTTTGCCCAGCTGCACTCGGGGCGGTATCATAAGTCCGACGCCTCATAGGTCAGACGCGGCGTCGGACCTATGAGGCGTCGGATTTATGGGCCTTCATTTGGTTAAGGGATGCGATTTTGTCGGACTTATGAGGCGTCGGACCTATGAGGCGTCGGACTTATGAGCGGACCCCTGCACTCCACAGGCACTCCACGGGCACTTGGGCGTTCGTAAAAAGCAACACGAGAACACTGTTCACGGGTCAATCGAGAACGGGGTTTCGAATACGCCCCTATTGTTGTTGTTACAAATTCCTACATTCATTCAGAAACAAGACTTAAGAACTTTCCACAATGTGTTACTAATACTTTTAATAGTACACTCGGCTAAACTATCAAACGGAAAACTCGACTTGAACTCACTGTGGCCGTCCCCACGATTCAGGATGCTGACCTTAGTGATGCAGTGGTCACCGCCGAGAAGCAGAACCCAGTGAGGATTCGCCTCGGGTCCTCCTAAACCCATAAATAAATACATAAATAGCATTTGAAATTCTTTCAACCATCTACTATCAATTATCAACATATGATATTTAGTGTTACTAGCGGGATGCCGTACTTCATGCGGCAACCGCTATAGCAGGATGGAGTTATACAGGGTGGATAAAAATAAAACGAAACCGAAATATTATTGCAAATTGGAACAGAAGTATAGGGCACATGTGAATAAAAGGGAGTTATCCTCTGTTAGGGTTGCATCTCCTCTTTAAAATGACACACTGATCGTGTCATGACATTCACGGTTGACTGAGCAGAGACCAATCTTTATGCAAGGGTCTATTTAGAGGCTTACGCCACTTGTCATGGTGATATCACTTTTTCCCCAACCTGCCTTGGTTGGCAACCATAGCTTTGCACTCTGTTACAAATGACACCACAAAAACCACAATTGAAAAGTGATGCAAGCCTCTAAATGGACCTTTTCATAAAATTGGTCGCTGCTCAGTCAACTGTGAATGTAATAACGTGATGAGAGTGTCATTTTTAAGAGGAGATTCAACCCTAACAGAGGATATCTCCGTTTGATTCACATGTGCCCTACTTCTGTTCCAATTAACAATAATCTCTCAGTTTCTTGGTTTTTTGTATCCACCCTGTACACCAATATTTACTTTGTATGTTGACCCAAAGTGGGTGTGGTGAACCTTTGTGAAGTAATTGTACCATTTTTTTATCATTTTGTGAAATAGTTGCGCTCTGTGAAACACGGATTAATTGGTTGTATTGCTCAGTGGATATAATCAGAATGTTGACCAATCACGAGTGGGATCAAGACCCCATATAATTCATTATGCAACGCTTGATTAGATCCCCTACATCTGATTGACGGATTGTTGATCACGTGTCATTAAATTATTCGTCCAAACTCACGGCGCACAAAAGAGAGGTTTCATATCAAGGCCGCGCTGTTGGTTGCGCTGTAATTGATGTGATGATGTACATTCACAGTACCAGTTAACATTTACCAAACAGATAACGAATATGAATTTAAGGTGTTGTTTAAAATGAAAACTGAATGTTTCACTTTCGCGCAATGGGAAGAATACTTTCATTAGGTGACAGGAATGTTCCATTTTATAATTCGCCAAGTGAAATGGCACACTTCATCTGTCACACCATATAATCATACCACTGTAAGCTGTAATAATGTTTTATTTGTACAGAACAAACCGGATTTCATGTGAGTCACATTTCATCATAAAACTATTCCACGCTCACGTCCAACTGTGCAACTTCCACCGTCCACTTCCCCGTTTTCGTCCAGCAAGTTGGCGTCATCGTATCGCCCATCGATAGCCTTTGCCGCCATCTCCACCTCGTCTTTATTTATGGGAGCAGAGGACTGCGATTTGTGTCTGCCAGCCAAGTTCATTTCTTTTTCCCCTTCGAATCCTTCAAAAAGTAGAAACCGTTTTCTATTCATCAGTCACAATCATAAATGTATAAGAGCATGTTTGGTGTGTTTTGTCTACCAAAGTAGAAATGTTTATAGTACAGGGTTAGTAAAAAAGCGGACCAAAAACCCCAAAAATTATATTTCATGTTGAAAAAAAAAGCATTCAGCACCAAACATAATGATGACTGGAAAGCCAATTTCATCAGCTACTTTTAGTTGAAAAAAGTTACTGAAATTGCTCAATCCGTTCAAAGAATATCACCATTTAAAAACACAATAACCCTAAAACCTCTGTCGTCCAAAAAATGCGTTTTCAAGAATCGTCGTCACTTCAAACATCACTAGCGATAAGACCTCAGTTAAACAAAAACAACTAGGCCTATTCAACAAAGTCCTTTTGAAGGCCCGTTTTTTATAAAAAGTGGATTTTAGAAATAATATTGTTTGCCTAACTATAACGCTTTTAATAAAGATATTGTGTACTACAGTTGTTGAAAGATGTTGAAACAAGACTAATTCTGTCATTTTCTTTGTTGTTCCAAACAGTCAAAATACACACTAAGCTGCTTGTTTTGTTTGGACGAAACAGGTTTTAGGGTCATCTTAAAGTAGCTTATGAAATTGGCTCTCCAGTCATTATTATGTTTTGTACTACATATGTGTTGAAATAAGAAATATATTTTTGGGGTTTCGGTTCCGCTTTTTTTACTTACCTTGAACTTCCAATGGCCTATTGGGAAAACTGATGGAGGGGGGAAACGGTTGGGGGGGGGGCAAGGAAAAAACTTAGAATCTAATAATGCCCTCCATGCCCCACATATAGCGCATCCAACGGAGGGCGTGGTTATAGCTTTGTTTTTACAGCTTATCTAACTGAATGGCTGACTTATTGTCGGTTGTGCTTAAAGTTGTGCTTTAAGATTTTATTTATGTTATCATCCCTGCTGCCGCTCTTTTTTGGTTATTCATACACTCGTTTGTAACGCATGTCTGTCTTTTTCTTTACCTGTCTGTTCGTGCTTGTTTTTCTAAACGTTTGTCTAACCTGTGAGCTGTTATGTGTATGTTAACAGGCATGTTATAAGCTTCGGCTTTTGTCAACATGCCTTTATCAGTACATTTTTCTGCATTTTGTATTCTATTTGTTTTGTTTTAGGGGTTTTGGAAGAGAAGAAAATAAATGTTCTTGTAATAGAATGTTTTAAAGAGCCTATAGAGCAGGGCAGTGCTGTTATATAGGATTCACTGGTTGCCACAATTAATGGGCTGAAAAGCGGCAGACAGTGTAGATGCATGGACGCCCATGAGAAACAGCCCCTCCATGGCGCGGTATATTTTCAAGGCTAATAGACTCGTCTCAAACGGGGGCGCCCTAGGGAGGCGCGACGATCTACGCCATTATGGGTACACACCTGTATAGCCTAAACCCATCCGCTGAGCTCATGAATAAAAGTTATACCCTCCAAATATTGTATATTAGAGAGTTCTGAGAGCCATAACATTGGGGAATTGAAGAGATATGGCAATGAAAACTCTGGCCCGGACTCGGGCTTCCAATTGTGAGCATTTTGGAGACTTTTTTTGCGCTATTTTGCCATGTTGTGGATGGATCGTTTTTCATGATGGCTACCGTTCCGCTTTGGGGAAAATAAGGGGTCGTCTTCTTTGGGCGAGAATTGCTCGAAAAGTCAATGGTCAACGCACCAAAAGATGACATCTTGATCATCATTTTTCTGTGCAGCTTAAATACCTGTGAGAGTTCTGAGTATTTTTAAAAGAATTTCGATGTTTGGGCATTTAGCACTAGTGTCTATGGGATTTTTTTTTTTTTTTTTGCACTGGTGCACCCTTTATGTATTTCACAAAAGACTAACCTTGTGAGAACAGGTCACAGTTGGTGACTTGCTATTCTCTCTTTGCACGCTTCCGCCATAAGCATATGAGCATGCAGAGCCTCGATCGGGCAACTTTACACTTTAAATATGGCCGGTTAAGTGATTCCCGTGTCGGGCTTTAGTGATTCCCGTGTAAACACGGGAATCACTGAAATCCCGGCTATTTTTATTGTGTAAAATTGCCAGATCGAGGTTCTGCATGCTTATGGCGGAGCGTGCAAAGAGCGGATCAAATGGACGCTGCGTCCAGGAAAGCGCCCAATGGGCCCTTATTCATGAGTCTCCATGTTGAATTGAGAGTGAGGTAAACTCTTCATTTTTGGAACTTGCGAAGAGAAATGAAAGCATTACTAAATAATTCGAGTCTGCTTAAATGAATGATTTAAAAATTGTTATTAAACATTCCCTAATGTTTTAAGCCAGATTAAAAAAATGAAAGTAAAATAAGGCTGCATAAATAGTCTGGCGCCATCCCATTCAACAGTTAACAATTTATGAAAAACATTCAGGAAACACGACAAAAATGGCCACCTCGTGAATACATTGGGCTCCAGAATGGGAAAGAACACTAACAAGTGGGATATAAACGTCAACACAATAATCTGTCAAAACTTGGCCTTTTTTGTGTTATGCTTGTGAGAACAAATTCCGTGGGTCAAAACTTTGATTCTCAAAACTCGAGTTTTATAGAATGGTGGTGTGGTTGTTTATATTCTGCTTTTAAATGCTCTTTCCAATTAATATAGTTTCATTTAAATCGCGTTTGGAAACTCAATTGAATGCCTTACACAACGGAGTGTCGTTAATCAACATCGGATCATAAAATAATGGCCGCTTTTAATAACAGTATTCAAATTACATGAAATTATTTAATAAGGCTCAGTAGCAAGCATTGTCATTTTTTTCAATGTCTAAAAAGGTATGTTTCACTACACATCAAAGAGGTCATGATATGAAGTTACGTTCTACTTCTCTTAAATGTATGAAAAGCATTTGACATCCCTTTTGGTTAATTGGTTTGCACTTCTTCAAACATTTTAAGCTTTCCATGCTTTTCTGGACAATTGAGGGCGCTGTCGGTGTTACGTCAATTCAGGAAGAAACGGTTGAGTCTATTGTTTTTGTTGTTAGAATGTGAACCCCAAACTAGCTCACTGACAAACGTTCGTGAGAAAGTTTTGCTCTTTGGCTTTCTGCCACGTACTGACAACACCGAATCATCTCAAGAAAAAAAATCACAACAAAAAATGTCCAAACTTATGGCAACTTTTTGCACTGAAATAAAATAACACTTGGCGCTGAAATAAAATCACACTGTTGCTCATGAACTAGGAAACTTGCATGAGCATAAAAAAAAGGCGCAAAATACCCCTAAAAATGGCAAAACGAATATTGATAACAAGGATAAATGGGACACAACGTTGCATTCCAGTAATTACATTACAAAAGCATACATTACAGAGGCCCTTCAAATGCGTCATCTCTATATTCAAGGATTTATGTTAGCATAATTTCAAGAACGGCAACAGAAACAAAACAAAACAAAAAATTAAATATGACTGCTGCAAACAATTTTCTGACTGGATTGACCTGAAATATTCATATGTCATAAATATGGCGGCCTCACGTTGCGATCTTAACAACATCTTCTTCAGAGACAAAAAAAAGCTGATACAGAGGCTAAGTTTTTGTTTCATTTGTATGAAAATCTTACCTCTGGATTCAAGGTTATCGTGCGAGTTTTCTAGCTCCAAAAGGCGTTCCAGCAGTTCCATGTCTCGATACACCTCGTTCTAAAACATGAACGCAGACAGGTTTATTTTACAGGGCTATACGTGTTTCAAGACCGTAAGATAAATGATTGACGGGTATTAAGTAGCCTCTCGACGAGGCCATCATTCGACTTAGACGTAAAGTAATTCAAGTTGACTTCTCACTATCCATTTTGGACATGGTCAGTATTTCTTATAAACGGCCAGTCTGTATTTTCCACGTCGATTATAATGGACGAATACCTATGGAGTCAATAGCTCCAGACAGACGTTTTGGATGAGGCCGCATTATTACAATTGTCGCGCCCTTCCAGGTTGAGGCATTATGTAAGTTAATACTGCAAATAAAAAGGTACAGGATAGCCACAATTCCTGCAATTAATACGGGCGATTCACAAAAGTGCGCCTCCAAGCGTTTGCAACGCGTTGGCCAATCACAATGCGCGAAATCGGTCGACCCAATGCGCGTTTGGGAAAGGTCGACTGATTTCGCGCATTGTGATTGGCCAACGCGTTGCAAACTCTTGGGGGCGCACTATTGTGAATCGCCCGTATTGCCATAAGTAGAAATAGTTGTTGAGGGAGTAGAAAACCCCAAATGAAGTAGGACCTCATTTAAACACTCTCTGTATTGGGATTCAGTGGCGGAGCAAGGTCGTTTTTATTTTATATATTTTTTGGGGGGAGACGGTAAAAATTTCTTGAAAAGGGCACGTGCACATCTGTGCTTAACTAAAGACAGGTTTGTTTTTAGGGACAATTGGCCTCCGTGAACTCAAAATAGTGCGTGTGTGTGGGGGGGGGGGCACCATCTGTCGTTAGGGGCGCTGTTCAAATATGCTTTTCAGGGCGAAATATTCGTGAAATTTAAAAACAAAAAAGGCAGCCGGAACGGCCGATGGCACAAAAAAGGCACGACTTCTTTCTAAAAGGGCGCTTTTGTTCCGAAAAAAAGGGCAATTGTTGACAAAAATGGGCACTCTTTACAATTGTGGTGAAAAAAGTGCATTTGAACGGAAAAGGGCAGTCTTTACAAAACGCTGGCTACGCCTATGGGATCGGTTTGTCATAATTGTTGTCATAAGCATTGAAATAATTTTATACTGTGAATTTGTTTGGGTGAAAGTTTGATGTAGTATGTTGCATGTGTTTGTTTTTCTTTAGTGTATCTGCATGTGTCTGTTTGTCAGGTGTGCTGTGTCTTTGTTTGTCTCGGTCAGTCGGTTAGCTTGTCTATCTCTCTCATCCGTTGGTCAGTCGATCGGTCGGTTTGTTTGTATGTTTTTGCCTGTTTGTTAGGTTTTCTGTCCATCTTCACTTATTTATCTGTCCTATGGTCGGCTGATTGTGTGTTTTTCAGTTCTTTTGTTTTTGTTTGCTTCTATTCGATGGATCAAGATTGTTTAATACATTTACTTATTTGTCTAATGTAACTTTAAAAGTATATTTTAAATTTATATTTAATTGTTTGAATTTATCATTTTCACTCCGTGTATGTGTGCAATGTCAGCCTCGTAGCTGCGTCTTTCACATTTTTAATAAACTAGAATAATAGTAATAAAGGACATAAGCGGTAGTCACAATGGCCTATCATGGACGACTAAAATAATTCAGCAAAAGTGTATTTTGGCCTATTCAAAGGACAAAACTTCAATTTAGTGCAGGTTATTAAAAACTAACCTATCGAAATTAAACTCAGCAGATATAGATGTTTGTTAAAACTGTACAAATCCCCTTCATTTTTGATAGGTTAGGTCCAAAAATGAAAGCGATATATCGATTTGGGAAAGGGATACGATTCCGTTCAGATAACACTTTACAGAAAAAGAGCCAAACGATATGACAGCTATTTCTAAACTTCGTTTGTTTTGCTCTATCGTATTAAATTTTGTCCAAAACTCGTCCCCAGGGTGTCGAACATTACGCGCCCACCACTACCTGCTCTCTCACCCTGGTATTGGATCATTTCCATGTGCACAATTTTTGAACACGTATGCAAATGAGGATAGTCTGGTGCCTGCCTGTGCGTTACATTTGCGTTTGTTATTGTATGCGGTGTCTGGGGTAAAAACAGAATCAATTTGTCGCAGCGCGAGCATGGCGTGAGTAACGAAAACACGATTTTATTTTGAATTAAACTGTAACGATCTTAACGAGACAACATAGAGTATCACATGTCATATAAACATAAACAAATTGGAAAGGAAATGAATATTTTCGAGAATGCGTGGACGAATGATTGCGAAAACACGTACTGCACATTATGAACAGCAACACCAACGACACGATATAAATCCATTTCTAGCCAATTGCGGTGTATCGAATCAGGATACAGGAAGAAAGTTTCCTATCCAGGGCTATCACTATTGGAAACGTGGTTGGAAATAAAGTAAGCACTGGAGACGAGGTTGATTTTGTCCAACAATAATTATAACCTGACAAAACTGACCTTAGGCAGCATGGTGAGGGTTGCATTATATAAGGTAACAAACAAGCCGTTTACCGCGTTGTGGAAATAATTCGTCAATTCTTTTTTCGCGGACACAAAGCAAGTTTTCTATTCAAAGAGGTCAGTTGGAAAGCGAAATATGAAATAATTATGGTAGTGCCAAAGATTTCAAATCAAGCTTGACCTTTTTATTCTCAATCGCGTGAATTCAAGCGGCCTTCACTACTGGTCACTAATCTCTTCATTCAAACCCCCGCAGTGACCTCGCCGAACGGTACTGAATCCTAGGACAGGATGACCTTGCAGGAAGGCTGTAGGATAATGAACACTTCCATTGGGAATAGTTTATGACACAGTTCCATATTCTGATGAATATCGACGTCGAGTGAGATTCAAAAAGTTGACAGTTTCATGTGCGGTTCTACTGGGAGGGGCGGGGCTATTAGGTATTTAACCCCCCCCCCCAAAAAAAAAAAAAAGTTTTGTCTAGCCCCTTCCAACCCAAAACAAATAAACATGGCACTTTCCACAGTGGTAGGATTTTATCAGCGCCCCCATTGAAAATTTCCTGGGTTAATTTTACCCAAGAAAGGGTGAAAACTGCAACTACCCAAAATTAGGTTGTTCTATAACCAATTGATTGGGTTATAGTTTATGTTAAATTCAACCAAAACTGGTGGTCATACAAGACCAAATTAAATTGATTTTGGGAGGCCTATAAGTGTCGGGAGAAAAAAAGTTTTACATTTCAGTATGCCTCCCTGCAAAATGTATAGCCCCTGCTAGCCCCCCCCCCCCCTTCAAATGTAGGCTTTAGAACGGCTCCTTGAAAGTTTCTTTGGATTCACAGTGGGAAGTCTTTGCACGAGCGTGTGACTCTCCAGTAGCTTTGGTGACTTCCAAGGCGTATTCGAAACCCCGTCCCCGTGTTGAATGAGCACGATGACGTGGTTTGGAATGATGAGAACCAACGTGCGAACAATATTTTACACTTCACACTTAAAAGTGTAAAATTCAATACAGGAGCAGTATATAGGCCTACTTATTATTGATAAGTGATCATATTTTAGGTAATAATCGAGAGGGCTTGTCTTTGCAAAATTTAATATCTGGGTTTTTTTTAATATTTGTTATTAATATTTAAGTCACATTTTGGGGTTTAGTTAGAGGCTGAGCCTTTCCAGTCGGGTTGGCGCGAGACTCTTTCCTCGCCTTCCATCTCTTACCTATAGTTACGGGTTCGTAACTCGTAGATTGCGTTTTCAGTCCGTGCCTGTTTCCGTGGGGTTTTCCCCAAGGAACCACACATGACCGTGCCTTCTCTCTACGCTAAAGACACGCCATCCGTAGTACAGTGCCTTGGGCACTTTTAAGATAGTAAAGATTCCCATATATCTGGAGATCACTTGTCAGCCTGTGCACAAACCGTATGAGACTGTTCTGAAAACGGTGTGTTTTCTCAGTAAATACTTCAATATTTTCCCTGCTAAATATGATTTTTAGGATATATTATCGCTTTCTGATGGCTGATAGTTCACTGAAGGGGAAAATAAGTGATGACCAGATATGGAAATCTTTCCCAAGAGAGTACGTTACTGGACACTAGTTTGGGCTGTTTGCATTTCAGTAGTATAAGTACGAGACACTTACCGCTTCCTGGGCATACGGTAATGCCGAAATTGCGTGGCATAACGCCACCAGTAGGAAAAGACGGAGCATCCTTGCCTGAAGGAAGGTCAGCTGAAAATGAAAGTACAAGTAACTGTATCCTCGGTTGTGTATAGGTGATGGGATAATATGCCTTAACCATGCGTAATATACACAATAATGCTACTTTGTGTGTGTAGGGTCAACCACTCAAACGGTACTTTTTTATTTCTATTCAAAAAGAATCAATTCTGTGTGCAATCAACCACGCATACACGCGAGGCTAAGGCGGGACTCACACCATTGGTTTACTGTGCAATCTGGTTTTGCGGGGGCACAGTGACCGGAACAAAATAGCTTGCTAGGTTTTCTTTTTCAAAAATATTACCCAAGTCCCACTTTCCGACCCGAAATCTTGATGCACTTCTATTAAAAATACGGCGATACATGCAACTCGATCGGTGCAGTGGCGGAGCCGGGGGGGGGGGGTAAGAGAGTATTAAATTTTTGGTAAAGACTACCCTTTTCCTATTTTCCATTCAAGTGCCTTTTTTCTCTAGTGTTTAAGTCCCCCCCTCCCAACCCCCGCTCCTGTATTTTAAAAGAGTGCCATTTTTGCTAATAAAAGTGCCTAGTTTTACAAGTGCCTTTTTAAACACAAAAATGTTGCTTCTTTTTAACAAGTGGCTGTAACGAGGTCAGTTTTTGGAAATTCCGCGTGCGTGTCTGCCTGAAAAACATCGTTCGCTTTGAACAGCGCTGCGCCCTCACTGAAAGATGGTACCCTCCCCCCCCCCCCTCCGCCCCACGTGTTCCCTTTTAGCGCTCTCAATATTCATTGGAGCACAGAACTTCCTCATACAAACAAACATCAGTCGTTGATATTCAGAGTTTAGATGTCATACCTTGTGTTGTGCTATTTTGCTATCGTGTCCATGTGTTTTTGAGAGTCTTTCAGAATCCGATGATCAAATGAATCACTCCACGTCTATACGTGGTTATTTTTTTTCCCACACATGATCACCCATTAAAGTAGATAAAAAAATGTCCTTCCAATCCCATGCAAAATAGAACGACTTTCGGGTCTAGTTTCATACCGAAGTTCCGGGTCGAGCTGGAACTATTGGTCAAAAAACTAAAAACTCATGTTTACATTGTAGTGGTCACAAAACTTTGTATTAAAACAGACACTGACTTCATGCAAATCGCGTGTCCAGCGTAGACAATTTGGGAATTATTTTTGTTCTGGAACCAAGTATAATCGGTGATAATTATGCACATGCGACACTTGGTACTAAGGGAATGGTTCTCTGCTTTAATTTCCCTTCACAAAATCATCTAGAGCTGGCCACAAATTAGAAGAAAAGTGACATATGTGGCACGCACCTATTGCAACAAGGTCCATAAGTGTGTTTCGCACAGTCAAACAAAGTGATTCTACGACATGGGACAATACCGCAAAGAATTGAGTGGGATACTTCTTTAGAGGGATTGAGAATACTTCGGTTTCCACGCATGACAGCTTATTAAAGTTCGGGGAATCCAACAATACCACCACTCCCTGCAATCCCTGTTCCCCGCCGCGTACTACCAACAATACCTTTATTATTCTGATCTAGACAAATACCGAACTCAGGGTTGGCCATGGTCAAATATGGCGTGAGAATTTTACATTTAATACCTGAGAGATATGTTTCTAATAGAGACGTAGCTATTTGTAATGGCGATAATTAATAATAAAGATAACTCCATTTTCAGAAATGTTAACGTTGCACGTCTAGAAATAGAGAATTCCCTTTCAAAATAAAAAAAATCTCTGTTTGGGGATTAAATATCAAATTTGCACGCCATAGTGAAGGTTCTATAATAGCAAAGTTCATGAATAGTAAACCTCGCTTGATCATAAACCCCATAGGCACTTCTATTAGGATGAACTCTTCGAGAGTTGCAATATGAAAGGAATCGGTTACAGTAGACCGATCAAGCAAGTCTGTGCCCCCCCCCCCCCTGTTCTCACAAAAGAAAAGGTGCATATAAGGCCCAAAAAGTCTCCGGTTTCTGGTATGGAGCTTGCCCCAGGCCCAAAAGTGGTGCGGCGTCGCGGTTTTTTTTTTTTTTTTTTTTTTAACCTTTATTTTTCTTCAAATGTCGGCTGATGACTGCAAATGGTGCCCGACTAAGAGAGGCCACATAAAGCTTATAATCGATCGTAACCCCATCTAAAAACTGTTAAAATTGTGCAGCAACAGGATTCCAGTCAAACCAGTGGCAGTTTTGACACATCATCTTACATTGAAAAAAAAACATCATTTTGCCGACGCGCATGGCTACGGCGACGCGCACATACCACAAATCGGAGACTTTTTTTGTTTGGGCCTAAAAGGCATAAAATATGAAGAACAAACTGCGGCGTTTGGCTTTACAAGAACTTAAGAAGCAACGTTAGTGGGTGTATGGCACATGGAAGTTAAGGCTCCGTCAACTAAAACCACCTGCGGGACGCAGTTACTTTATGACATCCCGACAAATTTCAGCAGGCAATTTGCAAGGATGATCCGTCTGTTCCTTTGGGTGGTGGCGTTAGGCCACGCAATTTCGGCGTTACCTCATGCTCAGAGAGAGGTGAGTTTTGCCGTATAATATGTTTGAAAGGCAGACAGGATCATTTGCATTAATCCTAAAAGTGACTTATCGAGTTATTATCAAAAAAACTGACTTGAGTTAAAGATTGTACTGGGACAAAACAACCCGTGAAATCATTTCCGTCTGGTCTGCTGTCATTAAGAGGAAATAAAAAATGTACACAGAAAACACAAAGTGAGTAATTAGACTCATTATCGTAAGAAGTGAGTCATTTTGTCCGTATAGTGACACACTTTGGCTCAAAGTGTCTCACTACACGGACAAAATGACTCAATTATTACGATATTGAGTCAAATTACTCACTTTGTGTTTTCTGTGTAGGCATTTTCCAACGATCAGTCAATTGACTTGTTTTTTGGAAATAATAGAGTGTTCTCTAGAATAAAACGTGTTTCTTAATCAAAAGGTTGTGCATGGTAATTCACTGTTTTCTCGAAACGTATGATATCCACTGAGCTGACACTTCAACAGGTTGGGTTTTGAACATACTTCTTTGAATTTGAATTGTGTTATTATTGGAAACGAACGAAATGCATGGACAGCAATTGTATCTCTGTCCGACAATATTATAAATTAGTTCACTGTTAACGTTTTCAAAGTAAAAGGCCCTAGCGGACGCTATTTAGTGTATTTTGTTAATACTGGGTTCCTAAACCACAATTTGCCTGCTTGTTTGTTTTGGGTTTTTGTTTGTTTTTTAACAACAGTACCACACAAATGATGAAATCGGCAATTAATTTCGGTAGGCAAATAAGTGTGCAGCTATAGGTTAAATGAAGCCCCTGTCACACATCCAAGACCAAAGACCAAGACCCCGCCAAGACCATGATATTTAAAAATATCTTGAAAATAGTACCAAAAACGTAGGAAATGTGGCGCCAGATTCATATGTCGTCTTCTGAGCTCCAGTCTTCAGACCATGATCAGAATGTGCTGCGATGTCGTCCCGAATACTATGACAGGTTAACAACCTGTTTTCCCAGAAAGGGGACAACTTTGTGTGGACGCGAGTAAGTCCACACAACGTCGCTGCTACCTGATTTATGTGAACATCTTTTGTTCGGAAGTCCACACAGTGAATGTAATGCTTATACACAAATACGTTTTGTTTCTCACACGGGTACGACCGCAGAAAGCAAACAAACTGTGCGGCTGGATTTACAACTGGCACTCAACAGCAATTCGGATCACCTGATTAGGTCAGGTACTATACTTCCAACCAGTCCACGAACCAGCTGCCAATAGCCGGTGATTTAAACAGCATTATGCCTTGTTTAATATCTTATTCTCTAAAGCCATCATGAATATGCATAACACAGAGAGACCGCCCTCTTTTGGTATTGTCCGATCTCGTTTGAAAAAAAAAATATTCGAAGCCGAATTAGCAATGACCGGTCGCGCGGGCCCGCTGGCACAGCACATAAACGACCTTGCATTCAAGGCTGAATACCGCGCCCGGTATCACGTCCTATATATATTTGCACCGTTAACTCAGTTAAACTTCCTCTACCCGAAAAAATGATAAAGATAAAGGCACGGTCCAAACCACTCTTTCTTGCGATAATTTCTAGGTCTTTGTCCATTAAATCTACGTCGGAATATGCTGGCAAATTTGTGCGAAATCCTGACGATGCGCAAAAGGCCTCGTGGGAAGTCACCTGATATTGGTAGTCTCCACTCAAATCGCTTCGCTTCCCCATCGAATGATGCCCTCGTCAAAGGGATTATGCCCCCGAAATGTTGCCGCGTGTCATCTTGAAACAAGCCCTATATCATTTGTTTTGGGTAAAAGTATGTGTCTTTTTTTATTTTTTTAGAACGAGGGATACCGAGACATGGAACTGCTAGAACGCCTTTTGGAGCAACAAAATGCACATGATAACCTTGAAGCAAGAGGTAATATTATTATTCAAGGCTTCATACACTCTTTTAGTTTCATCCATGTTTAAAAATTATACCGATATTTGAGCCTGGACGTGAAAGAATATTAAACTATTGTTGACTGCTGTGATGTGGGATTGAACAGTTCGAATACCCAATGCTATGCGCGCCGTGTAGTTAACAAAATGTCACAGATGTTACTTACTTTGTGAAAATTTAATTAAACCACTGCGGTGTAAACTTTGATAACTGAAAGATTTGATGTCATGCCAGACATCCGTGAGACTGAGCTGTGGAGTGGCAGTTGTTATTGCGCAAAGCAAGTGACAATCGCTCATTCAGTATTTTAGTTTTCGAAAAAAACAAACAAGGCAGGCGCTCTTGATGCATTACATTAATTTCTCACCCATTATAAAAAAAAACCAGCTTGATCGGATCTGGGAAGCTGCATGTCAACCAATTCGTGTTCATGCATCAGTCACGTGATTGTGCCATGCAATTTCTGGACGGAATAGTGTTTGGTAAAAAAAAACAAATCCGGATTTGACCCTAGTGACCCATGTGACCTTTGACCCCAGTTTGGTCACGTGACATGTTTGGGCTGGACTACGATGCTTTTAACAA